ATAAGCTAATATAATATTTATCTTCTTTGCTTGTAATATAATAGGTTGTTCGTGTCCCTAAGTTAAAGTGGTAACCTACCAACTACAGACTTATATATGTCTAATTATGTATAAAAAATCGAATATTTAAATAATGGTAATGTCTTCCAGGCCGAATTCACGTCGGCCAGTCATCTGCACAGTGTATAGAGTAAGCATAGGGGTATTCTCTATTCCCTCACACTCATACTCATACTGACACGACCGGAGAGAGATCAGGCGCAGGACTAACGGTTTACGTGCTTTGCGAATCACGGGGGTGAAACGCCGCCAAGTTTCCGACTCCGGGCTTCTACTGAGAATTTCTTGACAGAAAAATCCAATAACTGAATTTGCCCCGACCCGGGATTCGAACTTAGGACCTCATGACCAGCAGTCGCGTTCAAGACCACAAGGTTAATTAAATAATAAGCGATCCGCCAATTCTGATTGCAATACACACTTGAGTCGACAACTTTCATAATATATCTACGGGTCAGTCCGATTGCAAAATCCGATTGCAAATCCGATTGCAAATCCGATTGCAAATCCGATTGCAAAATCGGATTGACACGTATTCATCCCCCGCGTGGCGAAAATCGTAAATATTTCCCTGCTGTGGAAGAAACACATGCCCATTAAACTGATGTAGGGTTGATGCGAGATAGAGAATTATTTCAAAAGTGCTTCTTTTATCATTGTAGAATCCTGCTGATAGTGTTCGGCGCGGTGGCGGTGCTGGCTTCAGGCAGGATAGCGTACAAATATCTGAAGAGGCGGAAGAGACGCGAGTTGGAGGAGTCCATGAAGCGGCAGCTGGCGGCCGGCCGCAAGGAGCGCCGCGCGGTCGCCCGCGAGCGCAACCTCACCGAGGTGCAGCTGTGTGTCGTCTGCACCGAGAACCCTAAGGAGGTCAGCTCACCTTTTATTGCAGACTAGCGACCCGCCCTAGCTACGCCTGAGTAATTTAGGTTTAATATAAAAACTAATATGGTTTTTTTTAAACGGATTTTATAGTCAAATATAGCCTAGATCACTCTTGGCGTTGCTCTGTATCTCTTCGGGAAGTTTCATTACAATTGGTTCAGCCGTTTCAAAGATTAGTCCATACAAATAGAGAAACAGATGACCAAATGTTTAAAAATGGCTATTCATGTCGTAATAGCATGCAAATGAGGCAGTTGTTTCGATATTACAGACAGACACTTCAATTTGATTAATATGTATTAATTATGTTATAATTCTTTATATCATATACCACCCCTAACACCAATCAGCCATGTCAGAGACAAACCTCCCACTATGGGTTTGTTTTGGTTTTGGGAAATATTGGAACATCTTTTGCTGGAGCCTAAATAATGGTTTAAACATCTGGCATATAATTTAAACCAGATATAAAATAAAAAACATGGTTATACGTAAATTTTTTAAAATAGTTTAATTACACACAAGTTTTCACTAAAAACCTTATAATCATTACTATACTTCAAATTTTGAGATAATTTTATGTCAATTTCAAATAAAAAAAGCTTGGAAAATCTAAAAGTGCAAGACTCATTATGCTCATATAATCGAGAGAAATTAAAAAAAAATGAATTGTAGTTCTATTCGTGAAAAAGTTCCAGTAGCAGTCACCGAAGTACATCTTTAAATCACTCCATCAAGTCCGGAGGTAAGGCCTATTCATAACTAACAAAACGAGCCCAAACTCAGGACACCTAGTTCTTCTCGTCGAGGATTTCCAGTAGCAGTCATCAAAGTACACCTTCAGGTCACTCTATCAAATCCAGAGGTAAGTTCTCATTATAACTAACAAAACGAGGCAAAAATAGGCACATCTAGTTCTACTCTTCGAAGAGTTCCAGTAGCATTCACTGAAGTCCACCTTCAGGTCATTCTATCAAGTTCGGAGGTAAGGTCTCATCATAACTAATAAGACGAGGCCAAACTCGGCACACCTAGTCATAGCCTTCGAGGAGTTCCAGTAGCAATCACCGAAGTACACCTTCAGGTTATTCTATCAAGTCCGGAGGTAAGATCTCATCATAACAATAAAATGTCATCATCATCATTACAGCCCTTCACAAGTCCACTGCTGAACATAGGCCTCCCCTAAGGAATGCCACAAAGCACGGTCCTGAGTCACCTGCATCCATCGACTTCCTGAATAATATCTTACTAGGTCGTCACTCCATCTAGTGGCTAGTACAAGGCTGCCACTCGAGAACCTTTTTTCCCCATCGGTTGTCGGTTCTTCGAGCTATATGGCCGGCCCATTGCCACTTCAGCTTACTAATTCGTTGGGCTATGTCGGTCACTCTGGTTCTACTGCGGATATCCTCATTTATAAGTTTATCACATAGAAAACTCCGAGCATAGCCCTCTCCATAGCTCGCTGAGCGACCTTTAGCTTCCTCATCCGGCCAGCAGTGAAGGACCACGTCTCAGTTCCATATGTCATCACTGGCAACACGCACTGGTTGCACAGTCTCGTTTTCAAGTTTTGAGGTATACCTGACGAGAAGATGTGCCGTAATTTCCCGAACGCTGCCCAACCGAGTTGAATCCGTCGATTGGCCTCTCGGTCGAAGTTGGACTTACCTAGTCGAGCTATTTGTCCCAGGTAAACATACTCGTCAACAACTTCGAGCTTAGTGCTCCCAACAACTACCGGCATAGGTGTGACATGGACATTAAACATGATCTTTGTTTTGTCCATGTTCATCTTAAGACCTACCCTTTGGGAAACACTATTGAGGTCATTGAGTATAGTGCTTAGGTCCTCCTGCGATTCTGCCATAAGGACTATATCGTCGGCAAATCGAAGGTGAGTGATGTACTCGCCATTGATGTTCATACCGTATCTTTTCCAGTCCAGAAGCTTGAAAACGTCTTCCAATGCAGCGGTGATGAGTTTCGGGGATATGACGTCACCCTGCCTTACACCTCTCTGCAATTGGATAGGTTTCGTACTCTGGTTCTGTACTCGGATAGCCATCGTAGCCCTACTGTACAAGCACTTCAAAACTTCGATATACCGACAGTCAACTTGGCACCACTGAAGGGACTGCAGCACGGCCCAAATTTCGACGGAATCAAAGGCTTTCTCATAGTCCACATAAGCCAGACATAGTGGCAAATTGTACTCCTCGGACTTCTGTACAATTTGCCGAAGGGTATGTATGTGGTCTATGGTGCTAAAGCCTTTTCGGAACCCGGCTTGTTCGGGAGGCTGGAAGTCGTCAAGTCTGCGCGCGAGACGATTCGTAATGACTCTCGAAAACAGCACGTAGACGCGGCTCAGAAGATAAATAAAAGAGAGCGTTGTCGCCTTTCTTGAAGAACAAGACCACCGCACTTCTGCTCCACGCCTTCGGTGTAACGCCACCATGTAGGACGGAATTAAAGAGCTTCTGAAGGACTTCAAGTACCGGTTTTCCACCCGCTTTCAGAAGCTCCGCTGTAATTCCATCCTCGCCTGGGGCCTTGCCGTTTTTAAGGTGCTGGAGAGCCATTCTAATCTCGCTTAGACTGACATCCGGGATATCATCGGAATACTTAATAAACCACTTTTTTATGTGAAAATAGGAATTGATCGATTTAAAATAATATTAATAAGTTCAACAATCATTTATCTTTCTGACAATGTGATTTTTATATAATTAATATGTTCAATATGATTGTGATATTTATGCGAAAAAACGCTGGAATCTTGATTTTTAGGCGCAAGTAGAACATACCTATGCGCTTTGCGCTTAAGGCATGCAATATCTACCTACTGCTGCCTACCCACCCAGTTCGATGACAAGAAGCATCATCAAAGGAGCGAGAGACGTCTCATATTGCAATTGGAAATTATTCCATAATTTTACAATGTTGCTATAAATATACCGTTTGCATACTTTACCGAAAGTAAATGTGAATGTTTTTCATAATCTGAAATTAATTGCGGTAAAAGAAATTATTTACAGAAGTTTATGTATTATATTATTAAATAGAAAGTTTGAATAATAAATAGCGTTTAGTTGACAGTTTCTATTTAGCGCATTTTTATTTTCACTTAGAAGAGCTGTTGTCAGCGAAACACTAAACAACAGAGTTATAGACAATTTGCACAGCTCTTAACTTGTATATTTATATGAAATCTTTTTTCTTTAGGCCACTAAAGTCCACTGCATTTTCAAATATGACTGCCTATTCTAATATATGGATGATCAGGAATACTTTCTTGAATTGCCGAAAGCTACCAAGTGCGCGAGGGATTTGTCATAAATGTACTCATGAAAATAGAGGGACACATGTCCTTACCTAATATTTTCTGTAAATAAATATAATTCATTAATATTGATAGAATTAAAATTAAGTTAATTATCTTCCACCATAATGGGAGAATTACGCCGCAGTCTACAGATACCTTAATTTGACTACAATAAAATGTACGAGCAAGAATTTGCGTACATTTAGCATAAATCAAATGTTACACCTTTTTTCAGATAATATTGCTGCCATGTGGGCACGTTTGTCTCTGCGAAGACTGCTCAGACAACATCACCGATAATTGCCCCATCTGTCGAGAACGAATAGAGTCCCGAGCACCTGCTTTCATCACATAAATACTCTTAAATTTAATTGAAAATTTGTGCTAGACTAGTTGATATAAATGGAGTAAATGATTCTGATATTAGAAGCAAAATGGGTTTTGTAAATGAGTTGACAGCTACATTAGATAGTGCAATACCAAAAAATAAAAAAAATGTTACAGAGTATTATTTGCTGTAGTGCTGATGCTGATAGTCATAATGATATTATATCAGCTGCACTTTAATGCTCATGGTGAAAACGATCAAAGAAATAAATTATATTTTAATGGAAATATGTTTTATTATTTACAATATAGATAATTTCAATTATTTTTTTTATTTACATATGCACAAATATATAATTTATTGTATTTTAATTTACAATATTTTAGTCATAATTTATCAAAATCCTATATTTAAGGATCCCAGTTTACCACATGAGGCAGAACATGTTTCATCTTCCTGTTCTATATGTGTATCTATATATTCTGCATGTGTATGCTCTTCATCATCTGAATTGTTCAAGTTATCATCACTGTTACTTGGGTTACAAAGAGTGCCTTCTCCATTGACCTTTGCAATATTGGTTTCATTTATAACATACTTTTCTAATAAGGTATTAACTTTAGTATTATTAACATCAGCATTAACTTTAATTCTTTCACAACTTCCAGAGCAATTAGAACAACATTCTTTTGCATTACTACTATTTGTATAGTCATTAGAATTTATCGAGCTATTTCTGTTTAATTTTGTTTTACCCTTACACAATCCAGACTTACAATTCTTGGAATCTGATAAACACAATTCTTTTTTACTTTGAACATCATCCAATTCTTTTGCAGCTGCTTGTAGTGATTCTTTATAATTTGTTTGCTGTGCATTGTATTCTTCAAGCATTTTCTTAGCTTTCGAGCTTTTTCCAATACCAAGTTTTGGTAGACCTTTGTTTAAGCCTTCAAGAAGAACACAGGCCTTGCAAACTTCTTGTGATGATACAAAGTTACATCGAATGCAGGTCCTCTGTGACGGTAAAGTCACTTCTTCTTTAACAGCCATTGTTTCACCTTAAAATAACCATTATAAACAATTTAGATAGTAATTAAGTATGTCATTCTGTAGGTTTTATAAGAAACATTTTATATTGTTCCAATTGTTTACTTTTTTTATACATAATTAGAGGGTATCATCAATAGCACTTGTTAAAAACATCATAATGAACACAGGCCTCTCCAAACCTGGGTAATTTAATATACTTTTCCAACTTTAAAAACGAGTATGTTAGATGATATCTTTGTCAATTGTAAACCAGTTTTGTAGATTATTCTTTCATTAAGTAGGTTATACCTCAGGTATGGTCCATTATAAATTTGGAAATAATGCTTTTGGCCCATAGACATGTGCATCTATCCTCAATTAAAAATTAAAATCTAGGCGCATTCTTACTGGAGGACTGTAATAGAATATGCCTTGTTACCAGTAAAAAATAGAATCCAGGTTTCTACACTCACCATACAAAACATAGCAGCGTTAAGCTGCTATGTTTCGTATGGTGATTTTACACTGGTTTTCTGTAAGAGCGTGGTCATTCCCCAGTCAAGCTGATCGAATTTGTGCTACAACCATAATATAGCTGAAGCATGGCTCTACCATACCCTTCGTGTGTTGTAAGAGGTGACAAAGAGAAACTGAAACAGGGTATAGACAGCAGCATCTTCCTGATGAAAACCCAGAATAATAAAACACAGATTGCCAAACCAATTGCAATCTGGCGAAACTAATAATAATAATAAAAACAATTCATTGACAATAGTAACAAAACATTTAAAAGTTAAACAAATACAAAATTAATATTGTAAGAAGGACAATGAAAGGGTTCAGACTCGGCATATGCTGTAGAAAATTTACAACGCTGTTATTCTGTCAGCACCCGTATACTTAATTAACTATAGTAGTAACAGTATGCGTACATCACTGGTTATATTACAAATAGCAATTGATTTATTTATTCAACCAGTTCAAGAACTATTTAATCAGCCAGTACATGTTTTCATAGCTTTACTATTAATAAATTAATAATTAATATTCATGTACAAAAGATAAACAAAATATAACTAAATAAAAACAATGGTAAAATCCTCTTATGAAAACTTATTGGGGATGCCAATTCAGCAGTGAACTTTATAGGCTGTAATGGATGGCTTTAAAATGAAATTATATCTTTTTATAATTTGCATATAAAAAAAAGAACTATATTAGAAATGTCATTGTTTAAGAAGGATTACTCTCTCACAAAAAAAAAAACTCCTGGTATCCACTTTTTTCACATATTTTGATGGACAAAAATAATTATTTTTTTGTAATTTAAACTATTCATAAATATTATTAGTTTAAAATACGAAAAAGAATGGGACCAATGGGTAACCGAAGTGTGGTAGTGTGAATTAAAAACACACATATTTAAAAGCTTGTAATGCAAACAAGGGCAAACCAGTATACGAAAGCAGCATAATAATATAAGATAACCTGTAAATCAAATCAGGTCTTTTAAATGGACCTTGGCAGTCTCCAAAAACTAAAAAAATATCTTAACACTTTCACTGTCTGGTTTTCAGACACAATAGTAAGACAACAGCAATGACGTATATGTAGTGTACGGGACAGTGAAAGAGTTAATAGCCAACTACAATAATGTAAGTTGTAAAATATACTAAAACTAAAAAGGTAAGTACTTGTGCTCACAGGGGATACTCAATATGTGTTATAGTTAGATTTAGGTATCTTGTCATAATTTTAAAACAATCATGTAATAAAATTATCACCAGTGTCCCTCTCATTGCTGTCCAGGCACTGGCAGAATTATATCAAAAAAAGTTATGTTATAAGTTAAGATGCATAATACTGGTCATTTTTCATTCTTAGGTGCCATGTTATGGTGGTCCATTCATCATTATATCAACCCATGAATTCTAATAGGAAAACGCCTGAAAGAGACTATAGTATTCAGTATATTTCCTATTTATACCATATGAAGAGGATCCAGACAGGCAACGAAAAGTATTACCAAGACGGCATAGCAACTGTTACTGTTAAGTTTGGTGATTATTGTAAATTCTCCCCAAAAAGAGGGACTTAAGTAGCAAGTTCTGATAAGAAGTCATAAAAAATTACCTGAGTATATTATATCCATAATACAAGATGCCCGTATCTTTTCCATATCTTTAAGTAGTGCCCTTGCATGTCCTCTGTATGCATTTGGTGCAAAAACACATTCAGTAGAAAAATATACTAGCTTTTTGTAATGAGCATACATTACTATCTCTTTTTCATATGTATATTTAAGAGGTTTAACCCTTGGTATAGTTCCTTCACTACCCTGAAATACCCAATTAGACTTTTCATATTACATGTTATTATAAAAATTTTTTAGTGACTTACAATATTATTAACACACATATTATGTTCAAATTACTGGTGAAATTTTTGTAAATTTATTAAATATTCAATCAATGCAAAATTAAAGCAACCCATGGTAGTTTCTAAGCACTTGCTGTGAGCAATCGTGGTTTGATCCCCACCAAGATGCATGAAATTGTTAATTGCAATTATAGGTTCTGATATACTTGCTCAACGATGAATGAAAACATTTTGAGTAAACGTAATGTTTGCAAAAATGTAAGACTTACAGTAGTAATAGCAGTACATCTTTTTAATCTTGCTATATCTCCTCGCAGTACATTCATGAGAACAGTCTCTGCTATGTCATCAGCGTTATGCCCAGTAGCAATACATTTAACCCCTAACATTGCGGCTCCTCTGTCTAATGCCTGTCGTCTGAAAACTCCACAGAATGTACAATTATTTTTTCTCCCAATCTGTGCAACAATTTCATCCATAGTCCATCCATAAAGTTCTTTATATGAAAGAATTTTTAAGGGCATTTCATAATCATCACGATTTTGTTTTACAGTTTCCAGACTGTCATCTCTGTAACCTGTGATACCTTCATCTATAGAAAGTAACATTAGATTTAAACCATAATTAAACCGTTGGTTAAGCGTTTTCAGAACATGTGCAAGAACCGTAGAATCTTTGCCTCCAGATGCCGCAACAGCTACAGAATCACCACTTTTGAATAATTCAGCTTTTGTTATGGTAAAATGTATTTCTGTTTCAAATGCCCAAAAAAAGCAATCTTTGCATAATGCATCGCCAGTCTTTGGACGCTGAAATAAATAAAACAAAAATCTTTAGCTGACCCCACATTTTTAACTGAAGATTTTACCTTCATTAATTTCATAATGAAATATTGATAATTTAAATGAAACTAATCTGTACTAACCGTATAGTGGCGGTGCAAGAATAGCCGCTACTCCATATTATCGTCCAAAGAGAATCGTAAGAGGCGACTACAGAGGGAAAATGAAACAGCAGCATACTCCTGATAAAATTTCAAAATAATAAAAAAACTGCGGTTGCCAAACCAAAATTTTGGTGACTATGGCAAAATCCCCCATGAAGCAATTTATGAGAAAAACCTATCAGCAGTGGACTTTTATAGGCTGTACTGGATGGATGGATGGATGGATGGATGGATGAATCTAATACCTTGAGCATGGCATTTTTCCCGCAGCCGGTTCTGCATGGTACAGGCATATTATTGTAATGATGTTTTTAAATAGATTGTTGCTTTGATGCCTTGTTGTCTTTATGGCTATTTGTTTGCTAATGCTATTTGTTGCTATTTCTACTTCTAACCTTAAAATTTTATAATTATTAATTTTTGAAAGGCAAATGTTTTTATGTCCATACAGCCTAGTCCAATGACGTGTTTCGTTTCTAAAATCTATATATTATTTTGATGTGTTAATAGACATCACCGCGGACAGTCGAAGACAATAGTACACTAGACACATAATTCTAAGCGACAGAAGCGTAGCGTGGCCTAATATAGACGTGGGCGAAGTCGCATCAGCGAGGCCCTATTTATTTCGTTCCCAAGATCCACCCAATAGATCTATCTTACTAAACATGCTTTGACACAATACACCTACTAATAGCTATTAATTTTTGACAATTCTCGTATTTCGTCAATCTAACGGTCGCGGTCTTTGAAGGTAGTTACAACGGCCTCGCAGTCGTATTTAAGAAGGCATAAGCGATTCGCGTCGAAAACTTCATGTTTTAGGGTTTTTTCAAGGGCAGTATCGTAACGATGTGAGCAGACTATTTGCAGAAAATTACGGCTTTAGAAAGATGAAATGTTTATTTAGTGTACTACGCAGCAATATCATAATTTTAGCAGCAATATCATGGTCGTTAATTCTAAATTAAAATTTAATTTAAAAACTAAATCCTGGTTATTTTTACCTTCTGTCCCGAAATTAGACCAACTGTACCTGGCCACACTAGCGTTAATGAATCAAAAGCCCAACCCAGCAGCATGAATGATACTTTATCAAATGATATTATTTGCTTATTTAATTAATAATTCTATACGTTTAAAATTATTAATTTTATACGTTATTAAACATAATTAAAATATACAACATATTTATCACTTTAAATGATATATTTGACGGCTCCATGGCGGAGTGGCTTAGCAATGATTTGTAGTGCCGAGGGCCGCGGAACAAAAATTTGTATATCCTGCAAATAATTGTATTAATTTTTTGTACAATTTTTTGATACCCTTAACAAAATTGGGTGGCCAGACCCATTATGAAAAAAACGATATGCATAATTATGGATTATATTCATAGAGATTTTTTTTAAATATGCACATTCATTCATAAATTTATTTTATCAGTTCCATTATACGCAGACAAGTTATGAATGAACAAGCCGAGTTCAATGACTGAATGACATTCCTACTACTACATCAATCTATCACCTAATTTCTGAACGAAACGATACTTTGCTGAATTGATAATGGGACATATTTTTTATTTTTTAGCTTTATAATATTAAAATTTGTACTAAACACAACAGAGAGCACATCTATAAAAAATTGTTAGACGAATGGATAAGTTTTAGGTGTTTGGTGAAATGGGTTAAATCAATTTTTCCGTAGGTGGTGTGTTGATGTGTCCATTACAGTGTTTATTTCTCGAAAGCTGGTTTAAGTACATTATTTAAAGCTTTCTAGTTCTAGTTGTTAGTGCAAAAATAAAGTAGCAATATGCATGAACTGCTTAAACACGTGCTTAATGAGCGCGATTTGACTCGAGCAGGCGATTTATTCGCCATCCCGGACTCTGACATCGTGGATGACTTAAATGAAGTTGTAAGCACTTGTTATGTTATATATTTGTTACAAGTACAAACAGTTTTCTGATTTGTTTGTTATGCGACTGCTGGTAGTAGTTGTGGATTCCCTGACTTATTTTTAAAATAAAAACAACTATTTTTATTTATTAATTTATTCAGAGCTTGTTTATTGTTAAAAATGTAATGGGTATTGTTATTGATAATGATTGAATGAAGCCAATAATTGGCATAAATGATGTATCTTGAGGAACACCTATGTCCAGCAGTTGCTAACTAATATTGCTTACATAAATTATCTCCACCTCCCAGTTAGAACTAAAACATGTCATTCTTTACATATATCTAAAATTTATTATAAAATTGCTTTGTTTAATTTATGTAAAAAATTAAATATCATTCTACCAGTCTCACAAATTGGTAAAAATTAAAATTTGCCAAAAATGAATCCAAAAGAAACTGAAGGAAAAAATAATAGATTACTGTTTTTATAACACTATTTGGATAAACTTTCCAATATGGACCATTGATTTAAATGCCCATATTTCTTTTGTAGATAGTACTCACTAAAAGAAAGTGTTTTGCAAAGTTTCAATATGCGGAAACGCATACTTTTTGAAAAAAAAAAATTATTGAATATCAATTATTTTTGCAATATTTATGTCAATTCCTATGGTAAAACTGACACTATTTTGTATTGTCATTGTCATCGTCGGTAGGGATGTCGATTCTTTCCAAAAAATATTGATTTTTAAATCAATTTGAATCGTAAGCTGATGTATCGATTCACAAAAACATCTATTTCTAAAATATAGATATTTTTTCAGGTTTGCATTTATAATGTAAATATAAATCCATTTTATGAAAAACCAGAAAGATACCATAGTAAGTAATCTCTTATTGAAATTTGTTTTATTTTAATTATTTTTATTAGGGCAGATAACAAATAAAATAGGTTAGGTTCAACTTATGTCAAAGAATCGAATTGATTGACTCCGACTGCCGACGAGTCTGTCCTACCCCTAGAGTGGTTATATAGAGCCGGAGGCACGTAGGGGGAGTAGCCTCCGCCTGCTGTAAAAAATTGTAGGCATTGGACGAGCCAGTGCGGCTGAGGCTGGTCGCCAAAGGCGACCAACAAGCCGAAGCAGCGGATTTGTTATGCAAAGGCGTAGAGGCTGCTATTCCTGCAGCGCCGGAGACGTTGCAGTCTCAAAATAGATACAGAAACCCTTTTTAATCAGTTCTCCTATTTTACGTCCGATGAAGAGGATTTTGTTCTCATAAAATGGATTTATATTTCCATTATAAACGCAAACATGAAAAAATATCGAAATATTAGAAATCGATTTTTTGTGAATCGATACATCAGCTTCCGATTCGAATCGATTTATAAAATCGATCTTTTTCGGAAAGAATCGACATCCCTACTGACGATGACAATGACAATACAAAATAGCGTCAGTTTTACCATAGGAATTGACATAAATTTGCAAAAATAATTGATTTTCAATAATTTTTTTCTCAAAATGTACGCGTTTCCGCATATTTAAACTTTACAAAATGCTTTCTTTTAGTGAGTACTATCTACAAAAAAAATATGGGCATTTAAATTGATGGTCCATATTGGAAATTTTAACCATGTTCTATTGCAAGACTCTTGTGGAAGTCCCAAACTAGATAATATTAGCAGCAGTAGTGTGACCTATTATTGAATGTTCGCTTGTTATGCATACGGCAAAGGAGTGGAATAAGTTGCCAGCATCTGCCTTTCCATCCAATTACAATGTGGCTTTTATTATTTCTATATATCTACTTACTTCTAAACAAATATATACAGAGTGTTAATGAAACGCTCCCGAAAACGAAGAGAGACTACAGTACTTAGGATAGCTTTGATGATGGGTCACAAAGAAGTTCGGTCCCGAGGAAAAAATCATCTTTTCACAACGTTTTATTAACTATATATTATATTTTTAACAGTGATAGAGCCACGCGGCAGCTTTTGCTGTCGCACGAATGGGCCGGCTCGAACCGGGGTAGTACCACGACCTCACAGAAAACCAGCATTCACTGAATGAAGAGACTTTTGTTAAATCAGTGCAGCTGTGTCACCACTTACCGTCAGGTGGTATAGTAGTCAAAATGTGGCCTAGAATAGTAAAAAAAAGGCAGAACCTGTTAGTAAACTAAAACTTGGCTTGAGCTTTTAATATTGAGCTAATAATTAAGACATATACAATATTTCTAATAAGAGTACAATATAATTTTAGATATATACAATATTTCTAATAAGAGTACAATATAATTTTTATTATTTAAACTGTAGCATTAGCTAAGTTACACAATTTTTTTATTTTCTAAATTCCAGTTAAAGCAAATAACTGAGATATCTTCTCGACCTGATTACTGCCGCAATGACCGTGACCAGGCTCTTATAGAAATTTGTGTAACCCGTACTACTTCTTGCATTAAAGAAACAGGGACATTGCCCAAATACTGTGGGGCACTGGTGTCACTGCTTGAATCCTGTTTGCACCACAATCTGATGCCTGTTGGTCATCTTAGAGATGATGATCCACCACATGCAAAGATCGCCTCGGATATAATAGCTTGTATTGTACTGGTAAGCATTTATAGTTGTGTGATTACAAAAAGAATTGATCATAAGATCATACTTTTCAAGATTTTATGTCATATTAGGTCTGATATTTTTGAGATGATTGTTCTGTCTTCTTTTAGATGCCTCTACATATTGTGAGCAATTACTTGAATTCAATCATATATAATTAAAAAAAGTAGACTGCCGTAACTTAAATTCGGTCTGGAAATATTAAATAACATTTAATTATAAATTAACAAACTAAATGTCATCTTAAAATGCAAAAAAAAAAATATTTTTGGAAATATAGAATTTATATTCAATAAATTCTATATTTTTACTTTTGATTTTCCTTAGCATTGAGTAAAAGAATCTTAACTTTTTCCCATACTGCTTATTCCCAGCAGTTAACCATCTTCCGTTTCATTTCCATAGGTTATCACTGGTGACAATTGTCACTGTGCCTAGTGACAATTGTATAAATTAAGAATATTTTTATTTTTATTTTGGTAGGTGTCATTTCCACTGCAATCAGATAAAGAGATAAGTGGCAACAAAGAGGTGATGGAGCTTTTTCTACCAGTAGCAGTGCAATTTTTGCACAAGGGCAATAGAGAGATATCGCGTCACATGGCCCGGTATCTTTCGTTGGCTGCGGTGCATCATGCGCCGTTACTTAAGCCCCATGTTCAAACCATCATGGACTCTATAATGTCTGGTGGGTAATTTTTTTAATTCTTAATGAGGAAATAGTTATCTAGAGTTGTTTTCTTCGAGCTTTTTAATCTATATATTATACCCCTACTGTTTATATCTACAGTGAATATCCTCATTGTGAATTTCATCGTGCAGAGATATGCTGAGCATAGAAACTTACCAAGCATTTATTTAGACCATGCGAAAGAACTTGCACTATTTTTATCTACCTCACACATTGTTTAAGATATTGAAAAACGATTTTTTAATTTTCAGGCAATTACCCCCTTTGTCGCATCCTGACTAATTTATACGAAGTATGTCCAGAGCCCCTAGAAGGGCATGTAACTGCACTCGTCTCACTTTTACCTCACGCCGAACAGGTTAATCAAATTTTATTTTGTTATAGCTTTAGTTACTCTGTCCAAACTTCAAGACTAGCTTTTTGAAATAAAGTTTTTCATTGTTAATTTAAGTATTAATAATGATTGTGCACATTTGTTTTATTAGACTCCTATTATGTATACAGTTGCTTCAAACATTGAACTGTTTTGTAAATATGTAAATTCATCTCTGAAATTATTTAACAATTAATTACTATATTGATATAATATTTTGAATATTAATTATGTCAGTTAAAAAACATGAGAATGATAGAAGAAATTCTCTTGTGCTAATTTTGCCAATTGGGTTAAAAACACTCGTAGTTAAATATACCATGTACAATTAATCAGTTTCAGAAGATAAAAATATAAATGACATATACACAATAGCTTGTTTTTTTTTTTATAATAGGTCGAGAAAAATTCTTTGTTCGCCTTGTTTGAGCAAATAGCAGTGCGAAGACCCGAGACGCTGAAGACATGCGTGCCGCAACTACTGTCATACTTGTGTTCCAACACCGCCAACCAGAGTGACCCTGGTTGTATGTGTGTGGATTTACTACAGGTAGACTTGACTGTGTGCATACATTACATAACCATAAGCAAAAGTTATCTTATGTTAGCTGAGTGCTTTTTGCTGTTTGTTTGCGAGTACACTTTTCAATTTCACATAATATAATATTTCCTAAACTCTTCCTAACTTTCGACTTTTGAATTTTTGACGACATCTGATAAACATCATCATTAAATTCAGCAATAATAATACGTCACTATATATAAAAGTAAAAAGTGAAATGAATTCTGTCGATTTTATTAGCTATCTATCACTTTTGGTGCGTAAGAATTTAACACTGAATTGTTTTGATATTACCTATTAAGGCAATTTAATTAATATGTTTATTGCAGCTGATGGTTTGCCTTAGTCGCAGCCGCGCCTCCTTAGTCGTGGAGCATAGCGCTGCGATTCGGAGAGCTGCTAGGCCTCCGCATGCTACTGCTAGAGCCTCTGCTCTAGTGGCCACCATTCTGGCACAGCTTGGTCACACCAGCAGGGTAAGTTGTTATAGCATGGTCTGTTAAGATATATGTTTTTATAGTTTTTGACGAGATTATTGTAAAGTGATGTCGACCCGTGTGCAGGAACGTGCACAAGAGGCACTGAACTTCGTGGTGGAGCGGCTGAGCGGCGGCGAGCGCGGTGAGCAGGCGGCGCTGCTGCGCGAGGCGACCGCGCTCTGCTCCGCCTACCCCGCGCTCTTCACCGACCGCCTGCTGGCCGCCGTGCGCGCCACCAACAGGTGCGTGCCGCGCACTGTACACAGCCACGTTTGCACGTGTGCATGTCTACACGTGCACACTACCCCGCGCTCTTCACCGACCGCCTGCTGGCCGCCGTGCGCGCCACCAACAGGTGCGTGCCGCGCACTGTACACAGCCACGTTTGCACGTGTGCATGTCTACACGTGCACACTACCCCGCGCTCTTCACCGACCGCCTGCTGGCCGCCGTGCGCGCCACCAACAGGTGCGTGCCGCGCACTGTACACAGCCACGTTTGCACGTGTGCATGTCTACACGTGCACACTACCCCGCGCTCTTCACCGACCGCCTGCTGGCCGCCGTGCGCGCCACCAACAGGTGCGTGCCGCGCACTGTACACAGCCACGTTTGCACGTGTGCATGTCTACACGTGCACACTACCCCGCGCTCTTCACCGACCGCCTGCTGGCCGCCGTGCGCGCCACCAACAGGTGCGTGCCGCGCACTGTACACAGCCACGTTTGCACGTGTGCATGTCTACACGTGCACACTACCCCGCGCTCTTCACCGACCGCCTGCTGGCCGCCGTGCGCGCCACCAACAGGTGCGTGCCGCGCACTGTACACAGCCACGTTTGCACGTGTGCATGTCTACACGTGCACACTACCCCGCGCTCTTCACCGACCGCCTGCTGGCCGCCGTGCGCGCCACCAACAGGTGCGTGCCGCGCACTGTACACAGCCACGTTTGCACGTGTGCATGTCTACACGTGCACACTACCCCGCGCTCTTCACCGACCGCCTGCTGGCCGCCGTGCGCGCCACCAACAGGTGCGTGCCGCGCACTGTACACAGCCACGTTTGCACGTGTGCATGTATACACGTGCACACTACCCCGCGCTCTTCACCGACCGCCTGCTGGCCGCCGTGCGCGCCACCAACAGGTGCGTGCCGCGCACTGTACACAGCCACGTTTGCACGTGTGCATGTCTACACGTGCACACTACCCCGCGCTCTTCACCGACCGCCTGCTGGCCGCCGTGCGCGCCACCAACAGGTGCGTGCCGCGCACTGTACACAGCCACGTTTGCACGTGTGCATGTCTACACGTGCACACTACCCCGCGCTCTTCACCGACCGCCTGCTGGCCGCCGTGCGCGCCACCAACAGGTGCGTGCCGCGCACTGTACACAGCCACGTTTGCACGTGTGCATGTCTACACGTGCACACTACCCCGCGCTCTTCACCGACCGCCTGCTGGCCGCCGTGCGCGCCACCAACAGGTGCGTGCCGCGCACTGTACACAGCCACGTTTGCACGTGTGCATGTCTACACGTGCACACTACCCCGCGCTCTTCACCGACCGCCTGCTGGCCGCCGTGCGCGCCACCAACAGGTGCGTGCCGCGCACTGTACACAGCCACGTTTGCACGTGTGCATGTCTACACGTGCACACTACCCCGCGCTCTTCACCGACCGCCTGCTGGCCGCCGTGCGCGCCACCAACAGGTGCGTGCCGCGCACTGTACACAGCCACGTTTGCACGTGTGCATGTATACACGTGCACACTACCCCGCGCTCTTCACCGACCGCCTGCTGGCCGCCGTGCGCGCCACCAACAGGTGCGTGCCGCGCACTGTACACAGCCACGTTTGCACGTGTGCATGTCTACACGTGCACACTACCCCGCGCTCTTCACCGACCGCCTGCTGGCCGCCGTGCGCGCCACCAACAGGTGCGTGCCGCGCACTGTACACAGCCACGTTTGCACGTGTGCATGTCTACACGTGCACACTACCCCGCGCTCTTCACCGACCGCCTGCTGGCCGCCGTGCGCGCCACCAACAGGTGCGTGCCGCGCACTGTACACAGCCACGTTTGCACGTGTGCATGTCTACACGTGCACACTACCCCGCGCTCTTCACCGACCGCCTGCTGGCCGCCGTGCGCGCCACCAACAGGTGCGTGCCGCGCACTGTACACAGCCACGTTTGCACGTGTGCATGTCTACACGTGCACACTACCCCGCGCTCTTCACCGACCGCCTGCTGGCCGCCGTGCGCGCCACCAACAGGTGCGTGCCGCGCACTGTACACAGCCACGTTTGCACGTGTGCATGTCTACACGTGCACACTACCCCGCGCTCTTCACCGACCGCCTGCTGGCCGCCGTGCGCGCCACCAACAGGTGCGTGCCGCGCACTGTACACAGCCACGTTTGCACGTGTGCATGTATACACGTGCACACTACCCCGCGCTCTTCACCGACCGCCTGCTGGCCGCCGTGCGCGCCACCAACAGGTGCGTGCCGCGCACTGTACACAGCCACGTTTGCACGTGTGCATGTCTACACGTGCACACTACCCCGCGCTCTTCACCGACCGCCTGCTGGCCGCCGTGCGCGCCACCAACAGGTGCGTGCCGCGCACTGTACACAGCCACGTTTGCACGTGTGCATGTCTACACGTGCACACTACCCCGCGCTCTTCACCGACCGCCTGCTGGCCGCCGTGCGCGCCACCAACAGGTGCGTGCCGCGCACTGTACACAGCCACGTTTGCACGTGTGCATGTCTACACGTGCACACTACCCCGCGCTCTTCACCGACCGCCTGCTGGCCGCCGTGCGCGCCACCAACAGGTGCGTGCCGCGCACTGTACACAGCCACGTTTGCACGTGTGCATGTCTACACGTGCACACTACCCCGCGCTCTTCACCGACCGCCTGCTGGCCGCCGTGCGCGCCACCAACAGGTGCGTGCCGCGCACTGTACACAGCCACGTTTGCACGTGTGCATGTCTACACGTGCACACTACCCCGCGCTCTTCACCGACCGCCTGCTGGCCGCCGTGCGCGCCACCAACAGGTGCGTGCCGCGCACTGTACACAGCCACGTTTGCACGTGTGCATGTCTACACGTGCACACTACCCCGCGCTCTTCACCGACCGCCTGCTGGCCGCCGTGCGCGCCACCAACAGGTGCGTGCCGCGCACTGTACACAGCCACGTTTGCACGTGTGCATGTATACACGTGCACACTACCCCGCGCTCTTCACCGACCGCCTGCTGGCCGCCGTGCGCGCCACCAACAGGTGCGTGCCGCGCACTGTACACAGCCACGTTTGCACGTGTGCATGTATACACGTGCACACTACCCCGCGCTCTTCACCGACCGCCTGCTGGCCGCCGTGCGCGCCACCAACAGGTGCGTGCCGCGCACTGTACACAGCCACGTTTGCACGTGTGCATGTATACACGTGCACACTACCCCGCGCTCTTCACCGACCGCCTGCTGGCCGCCGTGCGCGCCACCAACAGGTGCGTGCCGCGCACTGTACACAGCCACGTTTGCACGTGTGCATGTATACACGTGCACACTACCCCGCGCTCTTCACCGACCGCCTGCTGGCCGCCGTGCGCGCCACCAACAGGTGCGTGCCGCGCACTGTACACAGCCACGTTTGCACGTGTGCATGTCTACACGTGCACACTACCCCGCGCTCTTCACCGACCGCCTGCTGGCCGCCGTGCGCGCCACCAACAGGTGCGTGCCGCGCACTGTACACAGCCACGTTTGCACGTGTGCATGTCTACACGTGCACACTACCCCGCGCTCTTCACCGACCGCCTGCTGGCCGCCGCGCGCGCCACCAACAGGTGCGTGCCGCGCACTGTACACAGCCACGTTTGCACGTGTGCATGTCTACACGTGCACACTACCCCGCGCTCTTCACCGACCGCCTGCTGGCCGCCGTGCGCGCCACCAACAGGTGCGTGCCGCGCACTGTACACAGCCACGTTTGCACGTGTGCATGTCTACACGTGCACACTACCCCGCGCTCTTCACCGACCGCCTGCTGGCCGCCGTGCGCGCCACCAACAGGTGCGTGCCGCGCACTGTACACAGCCACGTTTGCACGTGTGCATGTCTACACGTGCACACTACCCCGCGCTCTTCACCGACCGCCTGCTGGCCGCCGTGCGCGCCACCAACAGGTGCGTGCCGCGCACTGTACACAGCCACGTTTGCACGTGTGCATGTATACACGTGCACACTACCCCGCGCTCTTCACCGACCGCCTGCTGGCCGCCGTGCGCGCCACCAACAGGTGCGTGCCGCGCACTGTACACAGCCACGTTTGCACGTGTGCATGTATACACGTGCACACTACCCCGCGCTCTTCACCGACCGCCTGCTGGCCGCCGTGCGCGCCACCAACAGGTGCGTGCCGCGCACTGTACACAGCCACGTTTGCACGTGTGCATGTATACACGTGCACACTACCCCGCGCTCTTCACCGACCGCCTGCTGGCCGCCGTGCGCGCCACCAACAGGTGCGTGCCGCGCACTGTACACAGCCACGTTTGCACGTGTGCATGTATACACGTGCACACTACCCCGCGCTCTTCACCGACCGCCTGCTGGCCGCCGTGCGCGCCACCAACAGGTGCGTGCCGCGCACTGTACACAGCCACGTTTGCACGTGTGCATGTATACACGTGCACACTACCCCGCGCTCTTCACCGACCGCCTGCTGGCCGCCGTGCGCGCCACCAACAGGTGCGTGCCGCGCACTGTACACAGCCACGTTTGCACGTGTGCATGTATACACGTGCACACTACCCCGCGCTCTTCACCGACCGCCTGCTGGCCGCCGTGCGCGCCACCAACAGGTGCGTGCCGCGCACTGTACACAGCCACGTTTGCACGTGTGCATGTATACACGTGCACACTACCCCGCGCTCTTCACCGACCGCCTGCTGGCCGCCGTGCGCGCCACCAACAGGTGCGTGCCGCGCACTGTACACAGCCACGTTTGCACGTGTGCATGTATACACGTGCACACTACCCCGCGCTCTTCACCGACCGCCTGCTGGCCGCCGTGCGCGCCACCAACAGGTGCGTGCCGCGCACTGTACACAGCCACGTTTGCACGTGTGCATGTATACACGTGCACACTACCCCGCGCTCTTCACCGACCGCCTGCTGGCCGCCGTGCGCGCCACCAACAGGTGCGTGCCGCGCACTGTACACAGCCACGTTTGCACGTGTGCATGTATACACGTGCACACTACCCCGCGCTCTTCACCGACCGCCTGCTGGCCGCCGTGCGCGCCACCAACAGGTGCGTGCCGCGCACTGTACACAGCCACGTTTGCACGTGTGCATGTATACACGTGCACACTACCCCGCGCTCTTCACCGACCGCCTGCTGGCCGCCGTGCGCGCCACCAACAGGTGCGTGCCGCGCACTGTACACAGCCACGTTTGCACGTGTGCATGTATACACGTGCACACTACCCCGCGCTCTTCACCGACCGCCTGCTGGCCGCCGTGCGCGCCACCAACAGGTGCGTGCCGCGCACTGTACACAGCCACGTTTGCACGTGTGCATGTATACACGTGCACACTACCCCGCGCTCTTCACCGACCGCCTGCTGGCCGCCGTGCGCGCCACCAACAGGTGCGTGCCGCGCACTGTACACAGCCACGTTTGCACGTGTGCATGTATACACGTGCACACTACCCCGCGCTCTTCACCGACCGCCTGCTGGCCGCCGTGCGCGCCACCAACAGGTGCGTGCCGCGCACTGTACACAGCCACGTTTGCACGTGTGCGTGTATACACGTGCACACTACCCCGCGCTCTTCACCGACCGCCTGCTGGCCGCCGTGCGCGCCACCAACAGGTGCGTGCCGCGCACTGTACACAGCCACGTTTGCACGTGTGCGTGTCTACACGTGCACACTACCCCGCGCTCTTCACCGACCGCCTGCTGGCCGCCGTGCGCGCCACCAACAGGTGCGTGCCGCGCACTGTACACAGCCACGTTTGCACGTGTGCATGTATACACGTGCACACTACCCCGCGCTCTTCACCGACCGCCTGCTGGCCGCCGTGCGCGCCACCAACAGGTGCGTGCCGCGCACTGTACACAGCCACGTTTGCACGTGTGCATGTATACACGTGCACACTACCCCGCGCTCTTCACCGACCGCCTGCTGGCCGCCGTGCGCGCCACCAACAGGTGCGTGCCGCGCACTGTACACAGCCACGTTTGCACGTGTGCATGTATACACGTGCACACTACCCCGCGCTCTTCACCGACCGCCTGCTGGCCGCCGTGCGCGCCACCAACAGGTGCGTGCCGCGCACTGTACACAGCCACGTTTGCACGTGTGAATGTATACACGTGCACACTACCCCGCGCTCTTCACCGACCGCCTGCTGGCCGCCGTGCGCGCCACCAACAGGTGCGTGCCGCGCACTGTACACAGCCACGTTTGCACGTGTGCATGTATACACGTGCACACTACCCCGCGCTCTTCACCGACCGCCTGCTGGCCGCCGTGCGCGCCACCAACAGGTGCGTGCCGCGCACTGTACACAGCCACGTTTGCACGTGTGCATGTATACACGTGCACACTACCCCGCGCTCTTCACCGACCGCCTGCTGGCCGCCGTGCGCGCCACCAACAGGTGCGTGCCGCGCACTGTACACAGCCACGTTTGCACGTGTGCATGTATACACGTGCACACTACCCCGCGCTCTTCACCGACCGCCTGCTGGCCGCCGTGCGCGCCACCAACAGGTGCGTGCCGCGCACTGTACACAGCCACGTTTGCACGTGTGCATGTATACACGTGCACACTACCCCGCGCTCTTCACCGACCGCCTGCTGGCCGCCGTGCGCGCCACCAACAGGTGCGTGCCGCGCACTGTACACAGCCACGTTTGCACGTGTGCATGTCTACACGTGCACACTACCCCGCGCTCTTCACCGACCGCCTGCTGGCCGCCGTGCGCGCCACCAACAGGTGCGTGCCGCGCACTGTACACAGCCACGTTTGCACGTATGCATGTCTACACGTGCACACTACCCCGCGCTCTTCACCGACCGCCTGCTGGCCGCCGCGCGCGCCACCAACAGGTGCGTGCCGCGCACTGTACACAGCCACGTTTGCACGTGTGCATGTCTACACGTGCACACTACCCCGCGCTCTTCACCGACCGCCTGCTGGCCGCCGTGCGCGCCACCAACAGGTGCGTGCCGCGCACTGTACACAGCCACGTTTGCACGTGTGCATGTCTACACGTGCACACTACCCCGCGCTCTTCACCGACCGCCTGCTGGCCGCCGTGCGCGCCACCAACAGGTGCGTGCCGCGCACTGTACACAGCCACGTTTGCACGTGTGCATGTCTACACGTGCACACTACCCCGCGCTCTTCACCGACCGCCTGCTGGCCGCCGTGCGCGCCACCAACAGGTGCGTGCCGCGCACTGTACACAGCCACGTTTGCACGTGTGCATGTATACACGTGCACACTACCCCGCGCTCTTCACCGACCGCCTGCTGGCCGCCGTGCGCGCCACCAACAGGTGCGTGCCGCGCACTGTACACAGCCACGTTTGCACGTGTGCATGTATACACGTGCACACTACCCCGCGCTCTTCACCGACCGCCTGCTGGCCGCTGTGCGCGCCACCAACAGGTGCGTGCCGCGCACTGTACACAGCCACGTTTGCACGTGTGCATGTATACACGTGCACACTACCCCGCGCTCTTCACCGACCGCCTGCTGGCCGCCGTGCGCGCCACCAACAGGTGCGTGCCGCGCACTGTACACAGCCATGTGTTCGCCTCCTTAAAACTGATAAATCTTTGACTTTGTTTAATAAAAATGTTAATTTGTGGTAAACAGACTGTATATTTTTAGAACTTTATTGTTGAAGCGTATACTGTATCTGTAACATCTCATCATTGAAATACTGACCTTGTGAAGTCAAGTTATTAAAAATTCCTGGCACATAAAATAAAATTTAAATCAATGTATGTATAGAACGTATTGTTTAGTTTGGGGTCGTAACTAACAGTAATTTACTAATGGGTAATATTACTCTCATTCGCAGCAGTCGACCGAAATCGTCAATTTCTCACAGTGAGGTGAATAGAACACCAGGAGGCGTCACAATAGTGAAACTGGGGGGCACTACGAATTCGAGTACGGGGGCTGTGCCTTCGAACTCCGTGCCGGTTAGCACGGCTGGGACTTCGATACCGAGTACAGTCGCGGCTACGCCCCCCGCGCCTCCCATTACTGGGGGCTACACGAGACGAGTCAAACTGGGAGACTCGCGAAGTACGGGCCGACTGCATTCGGGGCCTAACTCGCATAGGAGCATGACTAGACTTAATGTCGCTGGTAAGCTTTGAACAAAAAAAAATTGTGAGTGCAATTGTGTACACACGTAAGAAGTGAAATTTCTTTAAGGCATGTTATTCTTCTTTTATTTTATACTTTACATAAGTAGATAAAATAATTGTATACTCTTGCAACCCCGGCAGTGAAATGTTACAAGAAAATGTAAAGTTTTTTTTAAATACCGTTCTAAACTTCTTCACTACGTCGGTAAAGAAGTTTCTCTTCAATAAAAAACTATTTTCATGGAACAAATTTAAAATTGCTTTAGCATTGCAAGTGAGATCACATTGAAGTAATATGTACTACGTACTAGAAGGCCCACGGGCTCAAACTAACTTAGTCTGTGTCATAAAAAGGTATTCTGTGCTTCTTTCCACACGCCCCGCGCTTTTACACAGATTTTGTTCGCGGTGTCTGTTTTAGTACGTAGTACATATTCAATGGTATAGCAATCAAATATCATCATTCAATAAATTGGACTAAAAAAAATTATAAAAGGCAGTAGCAAGCCAGTGTTGCCAGTCTTAACTAATATGCTTGTAGGGGACTGCAGTGGACTGTATGATTTTATTGTAATTAACTAACTGTGTGACGACTGATGTTATGTAGGGTATACTAAGGACGGTTGAAGATAAGATGGTACTGTGGACGATTATGTATTACACTATTTACAAGCGGCAGATAACTTAACTATATATACAGAGGGGAATCTTCAATGGAGTTTTCTTTCTTGATGTTTTCTCTCTTCTCTTGCTGTTGCTGTTATCTTCGAGTGCCGCTTCCGAAATGTACCGCCGAAATGAACAGCTCACAGCCCAAAACCAAAACGCCCTTCTTATATTCACAAAAAGAGTGTCTCGGCATGTGAGTGGTATTGTGAGGTGTGCCGCGCGCTGATTGGTCGGCGGCATCACGTGATATTCGGGCGAGGTGCGCTGGGCGCAACGGGGTATGAAGAGGCGACGGGGCAACGGCTCCCATCGCCATCCGTAACATCCTCCCCCTTGCGTAGCATGAGAGCCTAATCTTCTCTCGGGAGGACGGCGATCTTCCTTACTGGCCGTCGCAGCACTCCGCCCCTGGTCCGGATCTTGACGTTGCGCATTACGCCGTCTGGTCCGGGAAACGTCTTCGTGACGATCCCCCTCGGCCACACGTTCCGCGGTAGGTTACCGTCCGCAACCACGACGAGGTCCTCTTCTTTTATTTCTTGTCGCTGGACGTCCCGGGAAGCTCCGCGCGCGACCAGCGTCGGCAGGTACTCCCTCACCCAGCGCCTCCAGTACTCGTCGGCGAGCCCCTGCGCCGCTCTCCACGCCCGACGATCGATGGGTATGCACGGCGTGGTGATTGGTAGGCCCGACGGTCCCAACAGGATGAAGTGGTTTGGTGTTAATGCCTCTTCGTCATTGATATCGACCGGTACATGAGTCAACGGTCGAGAGTTGACGGTGTTTTCTGCTTCCGTCAAGAGCGTCGCTAGAGTCTCCTCCCTTGGGCTCTTCTGATGTAGAGTGGCTTCCAGCGCTGTCTCCACTGACCGCACGAGACGCTCCCACGCGCCTCCCTGGTTAGGCGCGCCCGGTGCGATGAACTTACACTCCGTGCGTCGAGTCAGCGCGTAGTCCTTTAGCTGCGGTGCCCATTCTTCCATCGCCCGTCGTGGCTCTGCATCTGCTCCATGAAAATTTGTGCCGTTATCTGAGTTATGACCCGCGGCCATCTACGCCGATATCGCCGAGTCTGTCGTTAGGGAGTAAACTAGCTCTAGATGAACCGCGCGCGTCGTTAAACACGTCAAAAGTGCTACCCACCGCTTTTCGTGCCGTCGTCCAATTCTAACTATCAAAGGCCCGAAATAGTCGACTCCGGTGTAAGTAAACGGTCGCGCAAACGCCCCTAACCATTCGGGTGGTAGGTCTCCTGTAACCGCTGGCTGTGGTGTCGCCTTGCGTACTCTGCATCGCAGACATCTCCGCTCCACTTCTCGTACGGTCGGTCGTAGTCGGAGGATATGATATCTGGTGCGTAGGTCGTTGACCACCCTCTCTCTGTTGGCGTGGCTTGCCTCCTGATGCGCCTTCTCTATAAGCAGCTTTACAAATCGGTGGCTTCCATTCAGTATGACGGGTCGCTTCATCTGGCCGTCCACGTCGGCTGCGTCGATTCTTCCCCTGGCTCGTAGTATTCCATCCTCCAGTATGGGGTCGAGCTTCCTAAGCGCGCTGCCGGTGGCCAGGTTCTTCCCCTGCTGAAGTCGGCTGATGTCTCCAGCGAAGCTGTCGAGTTGAATGCGTTCCAGCCACATCCGCTCTACCCTCTGGATGTGCTGCAATGTTAGTCCTTGTGCCCTTCTTCGTATGGCATCGATGAACTGCAGTACTCGTGCTGTGGCCCTGATCAATCTCTCGTAAGAAGAGAAGCGTTCTATATCTGGCAGGTGTGGAGCGTCCTTGGCGTCGCTCTGGTGCGCCACGATTTCCTCCAACTCTTCATCATCCCCTGCCTTCTCTTCTTTACGGTGAGGCCATCTGTCTTCTTCCTCGTAGAGAAATGACGGTCCTGTGAACCATTGGTCGCTTTCTCCCTTGATCACGAAGTTCATGCGCGGAGCTGGTGTGCGGGGTGCGCGGGGCGCAACGGGGTATGAAGGGGCGACGGGGCGGCGGCTCCCCTCGCCGTCCGTAACAATGCTATAACAAAAATAGTACTTACATTTTTAGTAACACACGTCGATGTTAAGAGGTATACACATATTAACCTTATTTACTCCATAGATTGCTAATATATTAATATAATATCTTAAACACTAAATTGTCACTGAGCGTATGTTACTTTAAACTTTAGGAAAATTAATTATGAAATTAGGTAGAAATATCCTTGGGATTACTATAACATGCTAAAATACTGTTTGATGAAGATACCATCGCAGTGACAGCCTCCACTGCTGAACAAAGTCTCCCCTATAGATTGCCACATCGGGGGAATATTTGCCATAGTTGAAACACAAAAACACAACTACACGGTACGATCATTTGTATCTTTTTATAGGTCAGCTAGCTAGCAGCTGATACCCGGTACATTGCTGTCGCAGATGAAATAATAATAAGAAATATCGTTTTAAATGTGGAAGTCATATTGTTTAATTAGGATTTAGGAAAGATAATACATTCATTGAAGTTCAATTATATATGCCTTTCAAATGAATTGGTCGGTACGATACGAGCGCCATCTACTGTAAATTAATTGTACTATGCCTATAACCTTCTCGCAAGTGCAAGCAATAAGTTGACAAAGTTTTAGCGCAATCTCATGAACGGTATGGCAACGCAAAAAATACAAACAAACAAACAAACAAATTTTTATATATTAGATTTTATAAAGCAAAAATTTTATTTATAATTTGATAGTTTTGGTGATAAACTATCAATATTTTCAACATAATTCTATTAATTAGGTATAGTATTTTGCAATTCTTGTTTACAGGTGGCTCCGTGGGAGGTTTACACAAAAGCATGACGCGGTTGTCATCCTCCCAACAAATCAACCTTCAACAAAACGCCAATCAACCCGTTGTTGGTAAGTGTAACATGTTTTCATTTTAGGCTACTTTTGTCCATTTTGATAATTTCTGATTTGACTGAACTCTATTTCACCGACTTTTATTTCAAAAAGTTAATGAAATAAAATTTAACCGATATTATGAAATTACTCGTTTATAAAAACCGTCGCCGTTTTCGTCCAACTACAGGTCTATCGCCATCACCCCCTTGTTCTCCAAAATAATGGAATCCGTTATAAACTGCCACCTCATGCGGTAACTTGAGGATCACCAGCTGATTAGTGACCGCCAGTACGGTTTTCGTCGGGGTCGATCAGCTGGTGATCTTCTAGTCTACTTAACTCATAGATGGGCGGAGGCAGTAGAGTCCAAGGGGGAGGCATTGGCCATTAGTTAGGATATTGCGAAGGCCTTCGATCGGGTTTGGCACAAAGCGCTTCTTTCGAAGCTCCCTTCCTATGGGCTTCCCGAGAAATTATGCAATTGGATCACCAGCTTTCTTGCAGATCGGAGCATCAAGGTCGTTGTAGACGGTGCATGCTCTGATTACAAGCCTATTAACGCTGGTGTTCCACAAGGCTGCGTGCTATCACCAACGCTGTTTCTTCTGCATATCAATGATATGTTGCAAGCCGGTAGCATTCATTGGCCTCTAAAAAGCTTGGCGTGCTCAGCAGAACGGGACAGTATTTCATGCCGGCTCAACGCCTGCAACTTTACAAGGCGCAGGTTCGGCGTCACATGGAATACTGTTCCCATCTCTCTCAGCGGAGGAAGGCCTAGGGGAGCGTCGCCCCAGGGGGTCGGGGGGGTATGAATGGTGGACATTTGAACTGGACAAAACTCGGAAGTTGCAATGCAAACTTAGGCGTGCTTGGCAGAGTAAAAGGCGTCTGGGAGGTAGGTCTGAGGAGGTAGCCAGGATGGCTTTCCATAGTATGCGTGCGAGATATAGGAAGATGATGGTGCAACAGTCGCAGCACAGGAAGATTGCCAACTCTGGCAATGAGGACCCATGGGGCCTTGCATACAGGCTGACCAGCGGGAGGTTACGTCCAGCTGCAAATGTGATTAATGGGAACGCCTTTGCGGGTGGACACCCGGACGGTCTGGAAGCAGCGATGCATAAATTAATGTTTGCGCTCTGTCCGGATGACAGCACTGAGTGCGACTCGCCTTACCACCGGCAGGTTCGTCTGCTGGCAGCTTTCATGCCATCGGGTGGAGCCGCGCCTCCACTTAAGGTTGGGGACCTGGGTGGTATAGGGTGGTCAAGGCCTTGCCCAACACGGCTCCGGGACTCGATGGAGTGAGTGTGATAATCGTGAGGAATGTGTGGATTGTGGCACCGAGGGAATCACTCGGTGTATGCCAAGTGTGTGGAAGAGGGGGTTTTCCCCAATGTATGGAAGGATGGAAGACTAATTGTCATTCCCAAGGGTAATGACAAGCCGCTCACCGACGCCAAGGCATACCGTCCAATAACGCTCCTCCCTGTTTTTGGGAAAATTATTGGAACGAGTAATTTTAAGTTGTGCTCCCGCGACTAATCGCGGGAGCACAACTTAAAATTACTCGTATATCCGAGTACCAGCACGGATTTTCTCCGGGCCGGTCTACAGTAACAGCGCTGCGTATACTGCTCAGCACGGCAAGGTATTCTCAGGCATGCTACGTGCAAGCAATATTCTTAGATATCTCCGGCGCCTTCGACAATGCCTGGTGGCCGATGATGATGGTCAAGGCCAAAAGGGATGGATGTCCACCCAACATTTATAGAATGTTGGTGGACTACTTCACCTCCAGGCGTGTGGGCCTCTACATCGGGGACCGGGTAGAGTGGAAGACGTCGACCATGGGATGTCCTCAAGGCTCCGTGCTGGGCCCAACACTGTGGAATGTGCTGATGGATGACCTGCTCCGACTCCCTCTGCCCCAGGGAGTAGCCATGACTGCCTATGCCGATGATGTTACAATCTTGATTGAATCAGGAACGAGAGCGGGTATCGAATCCAGGGCCAGAGTCACTCTGGACCTTGTACGGGAGTGGGGGCTAAGGAATCGACTGGAGTTTTCCTCCTCAAAATCGACCACCATGACTGTTAGAGGGAAACTTCAGCGCCCCCCCGTTATTAAACTTGGTGGGAAATCTATTAAGACTGTGACTAACGTTAAGGTATTAGGCGTGGTTTTAGACTCGGGACTATCGTTTGTGCAACATGCATCCGATATCTCTGAAAGAGCGACCAAGGGATTCGGCAAAATGTCTCGCGTATCTACATCATCATGGGGTGTACGATATCCGAGTTTAAAATTAATTTATAGAGGAGTATTTGTGTCCACGCTTACGTATGCGGCAGAGTGCTGGTACGAGCGTGCAAACATGTACACAGTTCGTAGCGTACTACTAAAATCGCAGCGATCCGCTCTTGTATTGTTGACCAAAGCGTACCGATCCACTAGCACGGCGGCCTTACCGGTGCTGGCTGGCGTTCTCGCTGCTGACCTAGAGGTTATCCGTGCTGGTAGGATGGGTATAGCACGTTTGACCGCGCCCAAAGAGGAGTTGAGCAGACGGAATCGCGATATTTGGACTGAGGTGATCGGCGCCTGGTAGGATAGATGGACGTGTGATACAAAAGGACGTGAGTTGCATCGATTTTTCCCGGACGTGGCGTTGAAACTCAGGTATACCTGGGTCTCACCGGACTACCAAACCTCTCAGATTCTCACCGGACATGGATGCTTTCGGAAGAGACTGAGCGACATGAAACTGTGTGAAATAAGTATGTGTGAGTGCGGTATGTCAGAGGAGGATGTTCACCATGTTTTATGGGAATGTCCTCTATATGTTGACCTAAGAGTGAAAATGATGGATGGACTAGTTCGTCCGGTTCAGGGACCAGTTTACTACTCGGATCTCGTCAGCGATGTGGTGAACTACGGACTGTTGCGCGAGTTTGCGCATAGGTGGCACGATCGCAGGACAAGGCAGATGGAAGGCTGGTAGGAGAGCCCGACGATGTAGGCGTCAATGTGTCGTCAGCCCCAGAAGGGGGAGAATGACGTTAAACTGGGACAAGGAATAGATTAAATATTTGTAGGGAGTTAAGAAAGTGTGCGCGGGAAAGAGCCACGTGCAAGTACCGCGTGCATCTCCCGAGATTCGGCTCGTATGACCTGAGGGTCGGTGGGGCCATGGGAGGTGGTGGGTTGTTCCCATCTCTGGGCTGGGGCTCCCCAGTGCCAGCTCCTTTCACTTGACCGCATCCAGCGCAGAGCGGCTCGAATCGTCGACGACCGAGTCCCTTCCGATCGGCTCGACTCATTGGCGCTGCGAAGAGATATTGCATCTCTTTGCATTTTCTTTCGCATTTACCACGGGGAGTGCTCTGAGGAATTGTTCGGATTAATCCCAGCCGCCAAATTTCACGAACGCACATCGCGGCAGAACTCCCGATACCATTCACACCATCTGGATGTTTGGCGGTCCACCACTGTGCGATTTAGAAGATGTTTTCTTCCTCGCACAACTTATACGACACGACTTAGGGACCTTCAAGAAAAGAGCCTACTCGTTTTTAAAAGGCCGGCAAAGCATCTGCAATTGCCCTGGTGTTGCGGTTGTTCATGGGCGGCGTTAGTCACTTACCATCAGGTGAGCCGCATACTCGTTTGCCCCCTCTCCTATAAAAAAAAACCACGGACGGAAATATCTAGAATAGAATAGAATAATTATAAAAAAAAATATTCTATTCTATTCTATTACTATAAGAGCTATTCCGCGGACTGTAGTTGTCTATAGCATTAACGATCGTAGAAAATTATCTTGGCAAAATCGGTTGTGCTTTTAAGTGTGCTACAAAATTATGCGTTTGGGAAAACGAAACATTGACATTTCTAAACGACTTTAAAAATAAAGAGCAAGAGGTACCAACTAAGACTGTATGTTTGTGGTTTACCTTAAGTTTGTCCGCGAAGTTTTTTTTTTTACTTGTAAGCCTGTGCTTGACCACAATCCCACCTGGTGGTAAGTGGTAATGCAGCCTTAGTTATGGTAAATCGCAATATCTTAGCGTAACAAAACTCCATTCACTCTTGCCTTGAAAACGCCAAGATTGTATTCGGATGGAAAGATAAACGCCGGCAAATTATTCCACTCCTTCGCTGTACGTATTACAAAAGACGATGCAAACCGTTTGGTTCTAATGCGTGGAATGTCGACAACAAAGGGGTGAAGACTCGCAGACCGCCTGGTTTTCCGATGGTGGAAAGTAGAGGGAGGAATTAAAGCGTGTAATTCCTACGCACACTCACCGAAATGCATCCTATAGAATACCGAGAGACTGGCCGCTCTGCGCATGTGCTCGAGGCTGACAAGATTGGTTTCAACCAAATCGAGATCACCAATGAGCCTCTTAGCACGTCTCTCCACTGAGTCTAACGCTGTCAGGTGGCATTTTGCAGCACCAGTCCATATGTGAACTAGTGACGATAGCTAATATAGCTAACCATTTTTTATTTTTTTTAACTATCCAATTGTATTATATAATTAGCCTTAAATTACATTTCGTCATTCATTTCTCTAATATTTTTAAATAAAATTATGCTTATGATAATTGTGAACGTGTGCAATGTTGTGGCAGCGAGCACCGCGAAGTGTGGCAGCGGCGGTGCGGCACGGCGCCATCACCACCACAACATACTCATCGGACCCACCACTGCTACGGTATTTATTTACTCCTATCATTACATGGTAAAGACTTTAATATTGAGGACTCCGTCCGAGTACACAACTGCAGTTGATTGATCCGTGGAAGAAAAAGGGGAGGTCATCAGCCTGGGGAGCGGGGAGCTCCGTGTTTTAGTACAGAGTTTTTCATATACATATATGCAGAGTCGTTCGAAAACTTCGGTAGCGTGATTTAGTCTTCGCCACATAGTAAATTAAACAATGAAAAATACTCAGACAAAGTAAAAAGTCACGACAGAGCCCGCAGAGCGTACAATACACTGAAGCCGGTAAAACTAAGCCTCGCCTTGTACATACACAGTTACACGCACACACATATAACGTGACAACGCTTTACCTTGTCAGTCGAGCTATTCTGGCGCTCGGAGTTTCACGCTATATTAATTCGCAATTTTTAAAGAAATATTGCCAATTTGTGTTGTGAAAGGGTGTAAAAACCTTCGAGAAATAAAAAGCAGGATGGAATCATATTTCATATGTAAGTAAACATAAAAATCCATATTTTTAATAAATCAATTTTATTATTTATTATGACAGCTTGGGACATAAAACCTCCACAAGTGTTGCCACTAGTAAGCGTCACAATAGTCCCCGTTTATTGAGTAAGTTATTAATGTGACGCGAAACGTAATGTAACACATTCATTTACTTATTTCTATCTTTACTTTTAATATTCATAAAATTAATGTAAGTGTAAATAGGCGTTAATATTTTTTTTTTGTTTTCCCATGTTTTATACGCATCCGAAATAAAGACATTAAAGAGTAGTTGATAGAAGTGATTCGTGTTAGCCATCGTGGAATCCAACGGTAGTTTGTTCAACACATTTTGAAGATGACGGTTTTTATAACACAAATAAAGGACTTCGCCGTGTGGTACTAAACGGATATCCAAAGGTTATTTCCAATGTTCCTATAATATTATATTTAGTAATAAATTTAAAAATGTCTTTTATTATCGATATTTTTCCATGTGGAATTGACAAGTAATGACAGTGTTTTACAAAATGGTAAAATAAGCAGGCTATCATAAGAATTTCAACCATATTTACCATGACTCCTAAATATTGTTGCACGCCACTATTAATGTATTGTACTACTCATTATTATGTGTCAATTTTGGTAATTCAATCGGCAGTTTTTAATTGTCTCGAACACCAAGCTAGTAATAATATCAAACCAACCTCTTAACTTCATAGGTTTTTGCATAATTTACAAATTATTCATTATAGATTATTTATTTCATTTTTAGCATCTACCTGCTGCACCAAATCAATCATATTATTATTATTATTATGTAGTTACTTACTAGGGGTGGACGTTGCGACGACGAACCGTTTACAAAGAACGTTTTGTGTTCTGCGACGATGAAACCGTTTTACGTCCTGGGTTCAAATAGTCTTCGTTGCACAGATTAGTCTTCGAATTACTTGGTGCGATTTTCTATTTTACGCCTATGAAAATATAGTACAGAACGCAATGATTCAACTATCCATCTCACTGGTCGCGTCGTTGTCCTTAAAGTTCCGCGTTATATTGTAGTCTTTGGTTTCGCATTCGTATACAAACTTAGACTTAGTTGTAAGAAATTGCAACCATTTCACTGGACGAAAACGCGATTCTATTTCATGTTGGATAAATTTCGTCCTTTAAGTCGTCTTCAAACCAGTTGCAACGACGACCGTTTTCTGCAACTGTTTTTGTCGTCAGGTAAACGGTTGCGTTTCGTCCGTCAAAAATTCGACAACGGCCCACCACTATTACTTACCCGTTTCGACTTTCAGCACGTTCCAGCTACATCCATCGAATCAATTGATGTGGATCCGATACAGCCCTGTTCCTCACGAGCTGCAACCGAAAATTAAAGTTAAATGTTCAATGTTCTTATATGTTTGTGTAGTTACTTACCCTTTCCTTTTTTAGCACGTCTCAGCGACACTGGTCTTGCCGACGCCTATACCAAATATAGAATAAGAAAGCGAATCAATTTTCGAAACACCCAGGAAACACAAATTGAGACAGCGTATTTTTCGCCTAGAAAATAAACAGGAACAAATAAAAAAATTAAAAACTTAAATCAAAAAGTAAGGCGAATATAAGAAATAAGTCGTTAAAGGAAATATTAGAAAATTTAAAAAACCAAAACTATATAAACGCTGACTTATACAACTCACTTAATGGAAATATTGCTGCTGTTGATATATTTAATGCTTAAACTTAAACAGGAAAAAGTTAAAAAAAATTGTGTTCCTCTAGAGAACATAGCCATATTGAATTGCATTTTAGCAACGCAAATAATAAATACCACGACAACTTCGTACCAACACGAGGAAGAAGATTGCGTTGAAGGTTCTTCGTTACAATTTCTGAGTGAAATCGGAAAGGGTTGTGCTGATTTAGCCAGTCGTTAAATATTGGGGAATTTGATGACTACAAAAAAGACATCGGATCAAGAAGTACAGCGCATTACTTGTCACAAGAGTCATAAAGTGTCAAACGTGTCTGGCTCGCTTACAGTCTGATGAGATATTTGACTTCCATAAACCAATTTCTTTAAAAGATAAATGTGGCTTAATCTTTCCGTCGAAAGAACTTTTTGAAATTTGCGTAATTTGTGAAACTGTTGTGCGTAAATTATGTAGTGAAAGTATAGTGATAGTTACTGAAAACCAACACAAATCAGTTGTAATTAATATTTTAAAACGATTTATTGGTACTGACAACGTTTTCTCTAACTTGGAGACTGAGCACAATTATGCTGGCCAAGAGCATAAAATAAGTTTACTAAGATTCATAATTGAAAAATATTTATCTATTCGTTTCCACCATATTTCTAAATTGGAAACAATTTCCAAAACGGTGGACAGTATACGACAATACTTCAAAAAATTTACCCAACAAAAAGGCTATTAAAATAACAACAATGTTTCATACTACTATTCTTTTATTTTTCCCCTATCTAATCGGAATAAACATACTTACATACTACATCTTAAAAGTGAGGTATACAATAAAAAAAAATTGCCAACTTATTTATTTATTTATCCATGCAACCTGCTAGTACTGGGACAATAAATATATTAGGGTAATAAGTTTTTACTGCACGGCAACACTCACTAAGTGTACACATGTTTACGAAACCGACCTCACGTCATTGTTGACAGCGCTCTGTCTTGACTTTTTATTTTGTCTGAGGCTAGACACGGCCTGCTCATGCCTGAGAGTGTAATGGAGAAATGTATCCGCCGTCCTACAGTGTGTGTTGGCGGACTTCACATGTATTCGATAGCTTATTTTGTACCATGTTAGCACGATCAAGGGCTCAATACGCGAGCAACTCTTACATCTTATTCTCCTTCTTTATCAGCCCGTACTAGTCAACGCTGAACAGGGGGTTCCTACGTTGTATCAAAGATTTGACAAATATGGACTAAGAATATATTCCTACAGTTCGAACTATGTATACTTGACTCTCCAGTGAGATGAGCTGTCCTGCGAATTTATATGAATATGAAAAAACCTTTATCTTCATAATCATTAAGTCACATTTAATATAACATAAACATTCACACCTGTCACCTAGAGGGTGGGTAGAGACTACAGACTTCCATTTGTACGATTCTTACAGTGAGTGATCAGACTCGTGAGAGTCAAAATAGGGTGGTGAATGCAATAACAATTTTGACGAAATAAACAATAATCACATATTTTAATTGCAGAACACCGGTCCCACCATTATCTCAGGGCCACCGCTACAAACACAATCCATATCCGTGAACCCGTTAACAACGGGCAAATCGACGGATGCACTCACACCGCTCACGTCATCAGTATCCATCCAACATTCCAACTCCGCCTTGGGTCAAATATCCGTTATAACTTCCACGGCTAACACACACGGGCCAATCTCCAACAACACACCCGGTCAAACGTCTGGTCCTGTAACGGTCAGCGCGAACCCGGTGTCTATATGCGGGCCGGTGACAGTAACTTCGCGGCGGGCGAACAACACGAGCGTCACAATGATCAACTCTAGTTCCAACTCAAACTCGAATACGAACACCAACTCGAACCACCGGATCAGTGTATTCGAACCGTATCCGATGCGAGATACCGTGCAGCATTTCTGCGAGAAGCACTTGGACAAGATCAAGGCGTATATGGACAATGTTTCGCTGAGGTTGCCGCCGCCAGCCAAGTGCACCATTGAAGGTAAGCTGAAGAAAGTTCTAACATTTCAACATCATATATAGAGACTTATAGAGAGGGTTTGTCTTAATCGCTATGCTTCTCAGTACCAGTCTTCTTGCACCTTTGATGCTGCCTCCAGTGCATTTTTCATTCTCAGTATTATAAATTTTTCTGCATCTGAACCTTTTTGGTCGTTGAATGAAAAAGGGAGATCTCCCGCCGGGCAAGGTATTCAGTAGATTTCAAATTATAGTAACTACCAGAGTTTGATCTCCGGCGGCACTAATGAAATTGTTAACTGCATGCAATTTTAAAAAAATGTTGATTCATCACGTACCGACGAGATAAAGGAAAACTTGCATGGTTGAGGAATAAAAATATTTCGAAGTCATGTGAAGTCCGTCAGCATGCATTGGAGCAGACTAATTGTTCCCTAATCATTCCAGAGATAAGAGTAAGTCTTTGCCTGGCAGTGGGGTATATATTTTTGTAAAAATAATTTACACCTAGAGTCCATTAAGTAGTTGGCAGTTTTAGTCCGACTATCGAAATAATTAAACCGCATCTGAGTATATCTGCCTTTGACTTGTAGAGCGTCGCTCGAAGAAGCAGGCGCGGCTTCAGTTCGCGTGCGGGCGTCGCGGGCCGCACTGCTTGTACGCGCGCGCCGCATTTTCCATGCGAACACGCGCCCCCCGGGTCTGGATCCACCTTATGTTTCTCGCACTACAAGCTCGTCATGCGGCGGCACTCTCTTCGAGAGACCCCACCGTGGCCAGCTTGAAGCACTGCTGGGACATCCTTAAGTGCGAGAACAAGACCTTCCTTACGCTGGTGACGGGCGCCTTCCCCGGGATTAAGGAGCAGGAGATGCTGGCCAGTGAGCTTCGTGCCGCCGGTTTCTTCGACGTGTTCGAACTGAGTGCTCCCGCCACGTGGGGCTGTTTCCTGTGCACAAGGCCTGAGAGGGCGGTGGGCTTCCTGGCGGCTGAGACGCCCGTCATTGAGGGACAGCTCAAGGAGAAAAAGGGCCGCTGGCGACTCTTTCGGCGTTGGCGCACGCGATATTTCACGCTATCCGGCGCTCATCTTTCATGCAAAGGCAGTGTAAGTTATTTTTATTACCTACTTTCTTCTTCATCTTTATCTATACATCTATACAAATAAATAAAATTGAAGTGTCTGTTTGTAATGTCAAAATAACAGTTTTTTTACTAGAATGCATAATGAAAGTGTATACGGTACATATAACAAAAAACAATTATTTAAATTTTTGTCTGTCTGTTTGTTCCGGCTAATATCTGAAATCTCTGGACCGATTTTGACGGGACTTTCACTGGCAAATAGCTGATGTTATAAGGAGTAACTTGGGCGACTTTTATTTTAGAAAAACAATTACGGTTCCGCACAAAAAAAACCTTTAATTTACTCGCGGGCGGATAGCTAGTCAGTCCATATTATAAGTCCGCTGTTTACATGTACATGAGAGCCTCGCCATAATCGTCACATTTCTCAGGCGAACGATCGCAGTATCAGTCTTTTGGCACCTGTGACACTGCTTCCTGTTTATCTTTATTTTTATAATGGTATTTTTCCTGATTTTAAATTTTATTTTTCGTTGACCGTTATTCCTTGATATTATTTCGTATTAGAGCGTAGTTGCGACCAGGCGTATTAAGTTGGAGGGCATGACTAAAATGATGTAAAATGATTTTGTTAGATTATTATTTCATGTTTGATGCGGTTTCGTTTTAATCTGAAGTTTACAGAGAAAGCTAAACACTGTGATTCTAAATCATGTTAATAAATAATCTAAATTATGACAAATCCACCGAATTCTTATAACGTAAACTTTCATCGTTCTAGAGTGGAGGCGAAAGCATAGACATAAACCAAATACGCTCCGTTAAAGTGTCGAGAGGTGCGCGCAATATTCCGAAGGCATTCGAGATATTCACGGGCGATCAAACGCTGATCCTCAAGCCGAAGGACGGCAAAAACGCCGAGGAATGGGCGCAGTGCCTGAGCATCGCCGTGGCGCATTCGCAAGCGAGGGACGCCCCGGCCAAAGCAAACAGCCTCCCGGCCAGAGGACTTACCCTTAAAAGTTTTTAAAACTTACATTTTGTGCTCAATCTTACCTTATTTTCAATAGTTTATGTTTAATATTATTAATTATAAATTCATCATATTAAGCGCGAATAAAAATATCTCATTCCAGTGCAAATAGAGCGTATGCCCAATGTGATTTGTAAAATCTAAAGGCCTAATAGTGTTACATTTAAAGATGCTAGAATACATAAAATATACACTAATATTTTTTTTTATATAAAATAAGGGTGACAAACGAGCACACAGTCCACCTGATGGTAAGTGGTTGCTGTAGCCCATAGACATCTACATCTATCTTCGTTTGCGAATTAAAATGCAGATGCGTTGTCAGCCGTGAGGACTAAGATAGAATGCCTCTTTTCTAGTAAAAAAGGGTCTCCGGTTCTCTACACTCACCATACGAAACACAGCAGCTGCTATTTTACGCTGGTATTCTGTGAGAACGTGGTCCTTCCTCGGTCGAGCCGACCCATTCGTGCTACAACTATACTATTAATATAGCTGCAGCATGGCTCTACCACGTACTACCATATAATATGTATACATTGCCGTTTAATCATCCATTTAATCAGTCTACTTCGGGACAAAGACATTTTCCGAGTGAGCATATTGCGATGGCCACGCAGTAGTATTGTAACATCGTGTAGACCCTGTTCATCACATGTCATTGATTATTTCGGATCTTAATAGCTTGAGTTTTACGAGACCTTCGATACGAAACAGAGTTACAACATATAACTCGACCCCTCTTTACTTGTGTTAGTTTTACTCCTTAGAGATGACAACACATCTGTATTTTAATCAATCTATGGGGCACAGAATCCATTTACCATTAGGTGGTCTTCTTGCTCGTTTGTCATCCCTTTTTTATAGAACATAAAAACATACCTGTACAATTGTGTATAATGAGGGGAAAAATGCAGAAAGACACATCCCACATGTCCCTTGCCCAAGTTACGTTTTACTTGTACAATACAGATCTGGGCATTGCATTATAGAAAGGAATGGGACTATTTTCTGCTGTAATTAATGTACATATAATATAATGAAATGAACTTTGTTACAGTTTACAAATTTACTTTTGTAATTGCTCACTCTTGATTGAAAAAAAGTAAAAGTTGTTGTACATTTTTAAAATGGACAAGGATTATTTCGAAGCATTTGTACCATAAAATATTTAAATTGTATACAGTCTAATATGAAAAGAATTTTTTAATAGACTCACAGTGAATTTATCAATAATAATGAATGTTGGAAAAGTGATTTCAGTTTAGTCTCTCCTTTGGGTAAAAATGTTCTTTGAATATTATTTTGGTATTGTATGTTCGTATGATAATAATAATGGCAGTTTATATTGTGTTGATTTACATATTTCATTTATAACCACACCCACACCATATTATGGTATATAGTATGCACAAAATATTCTTTGTGATGCATATTATAAGTACCAGATTGTTAGGTTTCCTGTAATCCGTCCTATATCACAATTATACAATTTTAAGAATTAAGTATTAAATACTTTGGTATTTTGCCAAAATTTACTATTTATTATGTCAACAATTTACAAACAACTGAAAATAATGTGGTTTTTAATGGACTTTTTTACTATAATGGTGTGCTAAATCAGTATTCTAATTAAAAAACATTAAAATGTACTTAAAACTATTATAATCGCCTTTAATAGGGAAAATAGTAAGAATTACATATTAAAGAAATGTTACATTATGTAGCATATAATAATATAAAAAAAGGTGTGAAAATAACCAAATTATAGTTTTCTTTCTGTGCAAGTTACGAAGACTCGCACATTGCCTGAGCGTATAAGCGCTGTGGCTCTAAAATTTGGCTTTATATCTTGCATGGAACATGTGTTTGTATGGCTATAAATGATTGTTCCCTAGCTGGATGTGTAAATTTCCCTTGTGGAAATCTTACCGTAAAGGTAACGTTTGTTTTATATTTACAATCATTGAGAGCGAGTGTTTTGTGTGATTTTACTAAATTATTGTTTGAAAATATAAAATACGGCAGGTATTTTTAGCTAGTGTTTGGCTAAAAAATAGTGTTGATTACTTTTCCTGCGTTGTACTTGCATACAAATATAATTTTAACTATACTAAAAGTCAACTTTGAAACGTTATGCTCATGTTATATTTACGTGATATTAATATCGATTACATTCCTTAAAAGCTATGTCAGCTCTCCGTCGCCGTTGCGGAGTCTACTTGTTATAAATCCTTTTAAGATTATAATGTTTATTAAAATAATTTCTTAGATAAAATGGTAAAACGACCCTATTTTAAGTTTTGTTGTGTTTTTTTTTTTTGTAGCTGGAATAGATTATTAACATGTACTATTATATCAATTTGTATATACATTTTCTGATAATTTTGACAGTTACAGTAGCGATAGCCTTTCTCAAACTAAAAAGGATTATTCGGTATGTAAAGAAAATTATAAGCCATGTTGATTTTTTAATGTTTATTCATTTTGAAATCATAATTTGTTATTTCATTTTATTTTTGTTATTTTTAAGGGAACTACTTAAGTCATGAGTCTATGTTTATGTACATATAGAATGTACTTAATTGTTTTGTAGTGATTTACATGTTAGATAATGACTGAGTCATATTTGATGCTCGTATATTTAGAGCATATATAATATTGATAGTTTTTTTGACAAGGGTTATTTGGACTAAAAGTACAAGTATTAAGGTTTATTTGTATATATAAGAGACTGCCTATGTGTCGCGCAAATCAAATGTACCCAAGGCGTGAAGAAACGTTCTAGTAATTTAGAAATTTAATGGTGTCTACATTTATTAAAAAATATATGAAATATTATCGTATGTCCATACATTTTATATAATATATTTAATGAGGTAGGATTGTAAGATTTAAAGTCAACAATTCGCGTATACCTATCGTTTGCATAACTTAATGCGAAATGTTATATAATATAATAGTAATATTTTTAATTTGATAACGCAAGTGTAGCTTGCCAGTACTTAAAATATTATTAAAAAAATGTAAATAGTAGTAATTAAAATGCTGACATTATGTACTGATTGATAAAATTATTTTAATATGTTATGAAATTATATTTGAATGAATCGAATGTTATACTCAGATTTTATATAACACTGAAGACTGAATACTGGTCATAGTGTTACTTGTGTGACTAACACAATAACTGTACTTGCAATTTACAAAATCAACTTTAAATATAAAACTAAAGGCCGACTTCTAAGAAAGTGAAGTTTCTAGTATGTTGTTTGTATGTTAAATTCATGTTCCCCCCAGTTGTTTATAGTAAGTTAATAAGGCATGTGAAAAGACAGAGTTACTGATTACTTATAGACATTCCCGTCCTATGAAATGCTTAAAATAAAATTTTGGTCTCACATTATTATTTGGTTGTTAAACTTAAATGACAATAGGTATTATTTCTATTTTATTAAAATTGAAAGTTTTATATTTTAGTTTATCATTAGGAATAGGTAGGTAACATAACTATTATGTATCCAAATTGACATAGGATTATTCACAAAATCTCTAAAGAATGTTGTTAAAACATAAGCTTTTACTAATAACATTTCCATGGGCGTATAAAGGAAGACGCACGCCCCTCTTTCCTCCCCTCCAAAAATCTAATGACAAAACATAACCTAGAAAAAAATATGTACGTTTCCCAGTAATATTTAAAATGCATAAAATACATTTAGAATGCATGCATAAAGATGCATTTTATATTTAATTACATTTCTGACATAATTTTAGTTTGTACATTGTAGATTTTTATTCTATAGTATCGTCTAAAATGTAACATTTTACCGACACACATCTTACATTTTATATCCTAAAGCATAATTTAGATTACTATTATATTTTATAAAACTATTTATATTTTTTAAAAATAAAAGCAATTAACCACAAATAATTTAAATATTGTAATGACAGTACCAATAAATATAGTCTATGCTCTGACGTAGATAACTGGATAATTTTCATAACTATGTAAAACTCTATTTGACATATTATGTATAAATCCACCAAAATGCGTTTACATTTAAGTTTAATATTATGTTTGTCACTGCCATCGTAGCCATCGTATTATAGTAAATGTGATTCCAAATTTCTATATTATAATGTAGTTATGGCTGTATAATTCCTAGCTCTGAGAATCCTAATTCTAAATTCAAACAACTACTAATAGATGTTTCGAAAAATGGTGCTGTATAGAGGCGATTGAGGTTCAGGACTATTTGCTTTTCAAGAAAACAATAGTGGCAATGAGAATTAACAGCTTAATATGTGTATATAAACGTGTTTTATGTTCTTTTTTACCTTAAACCGAAGACAAGGCCTGACTTGATAGATTTCTTGATTTCATAAAACCCTAAATTTCATTAAAATCGTAGCCGTTTGTCAGAAAGTACTATTAATTAATTAATACATATTGCTGATTAATTAATTGATATGTATAAACATTTGTCGAGGTCGCGTCGCAATATACTGATTTCATTTAAAATAAAAAGTTTTTAAATGCATATACTGGCTAATTGACAAATTTACATATTAACACTGTTACATTCGAATATATTTTAGATGTAAGTTTGCCAAGGAAATGTTAAGGTTAGCTCATGACTTATGAATTGGTGCTACATTTGTTTACATATTGTACCTTATTAACTTATAGTGCTTCCATATGTAACTAGGCGTGTAAAAAGTAGAATGTAAGGACAATTTATAATCTGTTATGGCCGCAGTAAAGTATCATTTACGCATATAATGGCACATGTACTTAAAAGTGTATTATTTATTAGTAAATAAAGTTGTTTCAAAATATTTTTGTGTTTTTGTGAATTTATTAGTTCTTAATGGGAAACATGTCTTCAGGTCGAGTTTGAACTTATCTTTGATAACTTCCGAACGAAGCTGTCAAATGATACGTAAAACATGAAAATAATGTCATGAAACGTTATAGTATCATGAAATATTTGCTATAATTTTCTCATAAAATTGCTATTTTTCATTTAAAACGTCATCACTATTCGGTAGTATATTGACTATAGAAAATGACAGAAAAATCGATGTAAAATAAGATCGAGTATGAACTTCGAGATGAATTTTTGAGACCAGTATGAATAAAATATGCACCTTCCACCCTATGTTAATAGAGTTGAAAATTGCTTATTTAAATTATTGAGAATCTACACAATGCATGTATAGATATGAAATCCTTTTTTCCAATTCTTTTTATTATTGTATATAATGTGTGCAACCAATGCGTGTTGCCAGTGGATGCCCATGGAACTGATAAACGGTGTTTTACTACAAGCTACATGAGAAACCTTAAAGTTGCTCTGTTTAGGATTCTATCAGGCAGAGAATATGCGAGCATAACCCTAAAAATCCATAGCTAACTGAGATATCTGTAATAGAACTACTGTAACCGACATAGCCCAAAGGATCATTAAGCTAAAGTGGTAATGAGCCAGCCATTAGTTTGAAGTTCTGTTAGCTTTCGAAGTTGGAGTCCGAACGAGTTTGAACTGACAAGCCAAAATCACAATCTGACCAACTTGTACTTGTTTGGACATTGTATGCTTCTGTTCCGTACCGTGTAGTGGCAGTGTAATAATATCCACTAGCCCATATCATCTCGTATTCACGTAGGTATCGTAAGATGCGATATAGGTAAACAAATCAGGAGATGGGCAGCAACGTTTTTCCAAGTGACCACGAAACTGCAGGCTATTCAATATGTCGTCGCCGAGGATTCCGATGCTAGCTGCGGCAGCAAGGGGAGTGCATTGAAACAGGAGATACGACAAAGGGGTACTTCTTAGCGGTAAACGCGCAAACTTGTATCTTCTGGGGATTGAACTGGACTAGATTTAGTCGCCCCCAATCCGACACTTTGTTCAGCAAAGACTCGACTTTAGAAACAGAAGCCTTTTTATTCAATATAGATTATAAATAATACTTATTGAAAGTCACTTTAATTAACACTGGTTCGGAATAAAAACCTCTGTCCTGGGAAGAACCAGCAAGAAATCCAGCGGGACTTTTTTTAAATAACAGCTTACAATCGGATATGTTACACAAATTAACAACACAACAAATTAGAAATAGCTTTGTAGCGATCACCTCATTTCCAGGGGTTATTATCATCCATAAATTCTTTAATATTATAAAAACCCTTTTTATACAAACTTAGTTTAATAAAGTTTTTGAACTTTGAGCAGGTCAAATTTTGTATAGTAAACTAGTCTAGCTGTTTCAACACTGGTAAGACTTCTAATCTTTTTACAGTATATGCTGCAGAACTAAGTCTGCTTGCTAGTTTTGATATATGGGGGCTCCATTGAATCTTCGCGTCTAGTGTGATTCCAAGAAAAATGGTGGTATCTACAACATTCAATTTCTCCCCATTTAAAATTACATTAGTATTTAATTGTTTGACATTTGGAGTCATAAATTTCATACATTTCGTTTTAGTGCCATTTAAATGCAAATGATTAACATTGAACCAATTTACTAATTTAGATATAGCATTATTTACTTCGTCATATTTTAGCAATTGTAGACTTAATTTGAAAATTAAAGAAGTGTCATCTCCAAATAATATTATATCATGGTTATCCTCTACTATGTGAAGTAAGTCATTAATGTATACAAGAAACAGAAAGGGGCCGAGAATTGAGCCTTGAGGCACGCCCATTTGTACCATCGACCCGGCGAGCTCATACTGTTAATGACAACTTTTTGCGTTCTGTTACTTCTTAAAAATGAAATAATTAATTTAAGAGCATCATTTCTTACACCGTAGTGTTGAAGTTTCCTGATTAATGTTTCATGGTGAATACAATCGAAGGTCTTGAATAGGTCACAGAATAAAGCCTCCTGTGAATTCTCCCATGCATTAAAGATATATTTAATCAGTTCAACACCGGCATCAGTTGTCGAGCGACCCCTTGTGAAACCAAATTGATGTTTATGAAGTAAATTATTTATATTAAAGAAATTTAACAATTGATTAAGAATATTTTTTCAAAAATCTTACTAAGTGTTGGTAGTACAGAAATACGAGGGCTGCACTAAAAGTATCGGGAATAGAATATTTCCACTGTTCCTGTCATATTAAAATCTTTTTAAATGAAAAGTCCTTAGTTTTAAAAATCGAATACCATTTATTTATTTAAAAAAAGATTCTCGGTCTTGCCACAAGGTTTTATCAAACTTGTTTAGTCGTTGAGAAAATGGTATTGACTCGGGAAAATTCAAGAGCGATGATTTATTATGACTTTCGAAGTGGTTTAACACAAAAACAGTGTGTTGACCGGATGATTTCTGCATTTGGTGATGAAGCCCCATCCAAAACCATACCGCATTCGCTCTGTGAAGAGCAAAAAGCGGCTCGCGTTACTTGGTGCGTCAGAACTCTCGAAAGATTCCACGCAGGATCCCCAAATGCTGTATACAACATCGTATCAGGTGACGAATCCTGGATATACGCGTACGAACCCGAAACAAAAAACCAGTCACGATTTTGGGTGTTAGAAAATGAGTTAAAGCCCACAAAAACTGTTCATTCACGGAGTGTTGCAAAAAAAAAATGGTGGCCACGTTTGTCTCCAAAACCGGCCATGTTACGACTATTCCTCTTGAGGGACAAAGAACGGTTAATGCAGAATGGTATGCTAGCATTTGTTTGCCACAGGTCGTTTCTGAACTCCGTAAAGAGAACAGCAACCGCCGCATCATCCTCCATCACGACAATGCGAGTTCTCACACCGCACACAGAACAAAAGAGTTTTTAGAGCAAGAAAACATAGAATTATTAGACCATCTGCCGTACAGCCCCGACCTAAGCCCTAATGATTTCTATACTTTCCCTAAAATAAAGAATAAATTGCGTGGATAGAGATTTTGATCACATGAAAAAGCTGTGGACGTCTACAAAACGGCCATTTTGGAGACCCTAACTTCCGAATGGAATGGTTGCTTCAATGATTTGTGAATGTGTCATATTTCGCGAAGAATACTTCGAAAAGCAATAAATACATTTTTAAATAGTAATGTTGTGTCACTTCCTTGATTCCCGAAATTTTCAGTGCCGCCCTCGTAGGTCTAAAATTGGCGGGGTCTAATGTACTATTAGATTTAAATAAAGGTATTACTTTACTATGCTTCATTAAATCAGGAAACACACCAGATTCGATACTGGTATTAAAAATAATAGCTAAATGAGGCGCGATTGTATCTATTGTAGACGCAATAACTTTAACGGAAATCCCCCCACAGATCCGTAGTTTTCTTAACATCAATAGTTTTAAAATAAAGTCTACAGTTTTAAAATGACCAATAACGATTAAAAATAAAAAAAACTGCGGTTGCCAACCCGCTTGCTAAGTGTGGCAACTATGGCAAATATACAATACACAAATAAACAATATCTACTAATATATAATAATAGAGAAACTAATATTGCCGTGAGGCAATCTCTGGGGGAGGCCTATGTTCAGCAGTGGACTTTAATAGGGTATAACGGTAATAGATTCAAAGCACACGGCGATGTATTCGCGATAATTATTCCATGATATCTGGGCTGGGTTCTTTACGGCGCAATCACACAGCTTATTTTTAAACATTAAATATAATTTTTATTGATCATAAAAACAAAAATTTTACAACACAATGTCTAAAGTTTATTTTTTGTATTTTCCATTACAATTTATGAACCACACATACCTAACAGTATTTTTGAATTATACCACTGATGTTCATACCTTTTAATTGTTTTTTAAAACCAGCATTCGGTTGAATAGCGGGCCTTTTTGTTTTCACTAAATTATAAGCTTCTTCGTAATCTATTCCCATAGACTGCAAGTACGCAATCGCAACCATAGACGTTCGCGAAACACCGGCATTACAGTGTATCAATATATTTTCTTTGTTAGTCACCGCGACATGAATAAAAGGCAAACTCTCTATTAGCACTGGCTCTATATCTGTCTCTGGTAAATCTAAACATTGAACAAATTTATGCTTAACATTGGTTAAATTCACAGTTATGCCTAAGCTAAGTACATTTGTAATATTGTAACTTTCTAATATTTTATCTGTAGCACAATCTTGCGAACCTATGTACAAATAATCTACAATTAGAACTGGCACATCATCTGGTTTGGTGTCCACTATGAAGCCATACTGAGTCGGAAGCACTGTAACACTTTGTTGTCTACCTTCAATATATCTTTTACCGTCAACATTCGTCACTACGGTTTCAGTCTCTTTCAGTTTCTCTTTCTGCTTCTTTAATTCATTTAAGAAACTCATTTTTAATCTCTGTCACTTTCTTCTATCGCCTCTTCCTGAGGTAATGATTTTTCGTTATTATAGACTAAATCTTCAGGATTGTATTCTACATTGCAAAGGTACAGTCCATCTGGGGGACAGTTTTGTATAAAGCTATGCCATGAATGTTTTGATGGAACTTGAAGCATTACTTTTACTTCCTCTGGGGGTATTTTTCCCACGGCAACACTTATCAACGTACCCATCATTCGACGAATCTGTTATAGATATGAAAACGAAATATTCATTACTGTGGTGTTTTGAAATTGATGAGACGGTCATTTATTATAATTATATTGATTCAGTTCTATGTAATTTACAAGTTATTATTCTTAGAGCATTTCTAAGTAGAGCGCGCGTTAGTGACGCATGGGTATGAACAGTCTCGAAATAGCAAGGGTGACGTTATTAGAAACGAAAGACACACACGGTGTTAATTGTTTCTCTCGACATTTCGACAATATTTATTTGAATTTTAAGTTTATACGTGGTAGAGCCATGCTGCAGCTATATTATGGTTGTAGCACGAATGGGTCGGCTCGACCGGGGAAGGACCACGCTCTCACAGAAAACCGGCGTAAAATAGCAGCTTAACGCTGCTGTGTTTCGTATGGTGAGTGTAGAGAACCGGAGACCCTTTTTACTGGCAAAGAGGCATTCCATCTTAGTCCTCACGGGTGACAACGCATCTGCATCTTGAGTCTTTATTGAGGATAGATGTAGATGTCTATGGGTCACAGTGACCACTTACCATCAGGTGGACTGTGTGCTCGTTTGTCACCCGATCATATAAAAAAAAAAAAAAAAAAAGTTAACATAGTGAAATGTGCAGTGCCAAGCTGTAAACATGATTCACGAAAGCAAACTAAGAAGAACAGTGATATTTCTTTTCATCGGTATGTAATATTTCCATAAGAAAACACTGATATTAACAAGATTACTAAGGCCGGCCACATACATACGGAATTCCGTTTCGAGATTCCGTTTCGGAATTTCGAACGGTCGGCCACACACAAACGGAATCCCGTTTTGCCCGCAAAATATCGAACGGAAAACTACCGTACGTGTGTGGCGGGTCATAGATTTTATATGGACTTGCTGCGTTCGGAATCCCGAATCGGAATATCGAAACGGAATCCCGAAACGGAATTCCGTATGTATGTGGCCGGCCTTAAGTTGTCAAAGGGGGAAGCGCGAGGCGCGCGGCTGGGGCGACACAGCAAGTACCCCGCGCCTCGCGCTTCGGGTTTTCCCCGAATTATAGCTTCTAACCATAATATTTACATAATAGGCAATGCACGATACGCGCTCTATAGCTTGCCAATTTGTACTCGTAAGTTATTAATATGTTATTGTTGTTCTCACAATGTAACAGAATCTATCCAACCATTGAACTCCCTCATTTTAGAATAACGGGACAAACGTGCACACAGTCCACCTGATGTAGTATGAACAATAGACTTTTATCTCTATACTCGATTAAGAATAAAAATGCAGATGAGTTATCCTCATCTCATCCAGCATCTCGTGAAGTGGCGGCTTAAGAGAGTCCATTAGCGCATATCCCGTGGGTATCGTAAGAGACAACAGAGGGACAACATACATGGGCGGCGGTAGTCACTTACCATCAGGTGAGCCGCATGCTCGTTTGCCCCCTCTCCTATAAAAAAAAAGGGAAGTGAAACTGGAGTAGAACTGCGGCATATGCCCCATAACTACCTACACAAAATATTAAAATGTATATGCTGTATTATTGCCTCAAGCGTGGCAACTATGGCAAATATCCCCTGTATGAGGCAATCAATGAGGGAGACCAAATGATCAGCATTGGACTTTTGATAGGCTGTAATAATGATGAATGATGATAGAGCTAGACCATAAATATTCATATTTAGACAGATGACAGAAGAGAGACGAAGTAGTAAATGTCTTGTATGTATTCGTAATTGTTCTATTACACATGGACACGATTATGGCAAAACACCCAATTGTGAAACAGGCATATGCATAAATATTGGCAATGAGTTGAATTAGAACTCAAAGTCCAGCCAGTACTACTGAAAATAGGGATTTTTTTCAGATACAAATGATATTGATGCGAGCATATAAATAATTAATTCTTCGAACTATCCAAATATAGGCAATATTCATGCCTTTATGTCATAGGACAGTAACTAAAGATCAGTGAAGAAAGCAACGAAAACAAGTCATTCATTCATTACTTTGTACAAATTTGTTTAGGTATGGTATTGTTACTTTACAAAATAACATTTCTTACTTGGTTATGAACAAAGGCCTTCCCTTTGATTTCAATATCCCAATAATCGAACACGCCATCTTGTGAACTGGTGTAGCTCGTGACCATTGGCCGTCCAGGACGAACCTCGATGGATTGTATTACTCTGCGGTTATGTTTCTTCTCATTCAACTTATCGAATTTTTTAAATGTAGTGAAGTCGTGGTAGCCGACAAAATAGTTGGCACCTTCTTTAAACCTGTCTATATCAAAACCCAAGTTCCTGAAAATTAATCTACTGTTATATAATTGTTTAATGGAGCACTCGTTGATTGATTGATTCAAAGATTTTATCAAATATCTCTTTTATTTTCTGTTTTATCCCTGAACCTATTTTAGAATCTGTACCTCATAAAATGACACTTCTTCCATTCTTCTATAGGTATATAGGATGCAATTATAGCAGTTTGTGGAAGGGTAACATCTCTTTTTAATACTGCTAATCTGTAAAATATAACATATAAAGAAAATGCAATACCAAAATAAATATAAACATAATAAAAAAATATAGTAATTGCTTACAACATTTGATAGTTAAAAGATTTCATAAACGTTGTCCAATAAGACAGAAATTGGAGAATTGAAAATTTAAATTCCTAGGATAAAAGATAAGGCACTATCTAAAATACACCCACCTGTACAAATATGTCCTTGAAACTGCATTAAATCTAGCACTAAAACTGTCTGAGACTCTCAAGCATTTCTTTATATAAATACTTGTCTCATTCTTGTGTAAGAATTTGTTCAATTCATATACAATATTTTCTGGTTCATATATTCTTGTGCCACATCTTTCTAAATCAAAATGTGCACTCGTATTTATCGCATGTACCCCTCCATCTGTACTGTAAAACATGCCAATTTTAAAGGGTCGACAATTTTTTATATAGTTTTTATGTGGTATTTACATGAAATTAAAATTCAGTGACAGCTCACTTTACATTCAAATTTGTATTAATAGTTTAATTGCAATTTGATTATACTTGGTATGCAATTTCAGTACACTTTGTTTTAGTAACATCTAAGAGGCCAAAAGACTATCGACAATACCTCGTACTAAATGGATGATGCACTAAGCAAACAGATTATTTATTGTGTATGTGTACATAACATACGAGGTATGTTCAAAAAGAAACCGAACTTGATATAGCATGCCAACTCAGGTATTGACGCTCGACTTGACGATTGTGATTAAGCAAATAGGATAAGAAAAATCCTAGCTAAACAGAACACGCCGGGATCCATCTCTTTAAAGCAACCTGAGGGAAGCTACTCAACATCGCCAGATGAAACCCAAAGCATCCTAATTGAAACACACTTCCCAGGTTGCTGCGTAACACAGGGGATAAACTGGCTTGAAGATACACTGACACCAATGGCAGAGGATTGGAAAGAGTTGTAGCGGTGGATAAAATCCACTGGGCCATTCACAGTTTCCTCCCCTATAAGGCAGCAAGACTGACGGCATATTCTCTGCACTCCTACAGCCCTAAAGCCCTAATAGTCAGACTTGTTGCCATAATTTCGGCTTTCAAATATGTTCCTAGGGGATGGAGGAAAGTGAAAGTGACATTCACACTCAATATACGGACCCTAAATCCTATAGACCCATTAGCCTCACATCCTTTCTCCTAAAGACAATGGAGAGGATGTGTGAAAGGGAATTAAGGGGGTCGGCGCTAATGAAATTACTGCTACATGATAAGCAACACGCCTATAGCTTCGGAAAGTCGACAGATTCGCCACTTCCTCAGGTAATAACAAAGATTGAAGACGCAATCCAAAACAAAGAAATATGTCTAGATTCCTTCATATATAGAAGGTGCTTTTGACAAAATGAACTTCTCCGGTGTAAAAGTTTCAATAAGTAGACATTAAGTTGAACCGGCACTGATTGACTGGATAGGAAACATGTCACAAACAATAAAGATTGCTGGTGAATCTGAACAATCCAGATCAAGAAAGGCTGCCCGCATGGTGGGGTTCTTTCAACTCTCCTGTGAAATAGAGTCATCAATGAACTCATCAGCAAATTAAATGCTAATTAATTCTATACAGTAGGTTATGCAGATGGCCTGACAATACTGGACTTTGGAAAGACAGCAAGCATGGTGTACGACCTGATCCAAGTGGCTCTCCATATAGTGGAGAGATGGTGCAGGGAATATTACTTAATCATTAACCCAAATAAAATGGTACTAGTAATTTTCACACAAAAACAATTGCTTAATAACTATCACCTCCTAAGTCTTCACCACAAAACTCCATCTATCCTCTGAGGTAAAATATTTAGGTCTTACTTTTGACAATAAACTGAACTGGAATATACACATAGAAAACAAATTCAACAAGGCTAGTATAACTTTCTGGCAATGCAAAAACATGATTGGCAAACAATGGGGTTTGATCCTAAAAATTATACTGTGGCTATACAAAAAACGTGATTCTGCCCATGAGCACATACGGTGCTCTGGTATGGTGAACCAAAACAAATGAAGCCACCACCATTAAGAAGCTTCAGCAGTACCAGAGACTGGCAATGTATGGTTGCCACAGGCTTCATAAGTACTACACGAACAGCAGCCTTAAGAGGCTATGCTGGAGCTAACCCCGCTTCACCTACACATACAACTTTAGCCTTTAGCTGGCATTAGACTCAAGACCCTAAATCTATGAAATAAGAGTAGAGTCCCCCATACAGGTATAATTGATAGAATTTGTTCCATAATTCCTATCTTACAAGTCAAAGATAAGATCCCTAAACAATTTGTGTTTGATAAGAAATACAAGATACAATTAAATGAAACAACTAAAAAAATTAACAAAAAATTCAAAAGCTGATTCTGCCCAACCCATTCGGTTTTGAAGTTGAGTTGTGTTTACAATCACTAGACTAAGTGCTTAATTAAAGAATGTGCATGTAATGAATGAATGTCAATTAATATAAAATAAATCTTTTGAATTAAATAATCTTTATATTATATACTGGATTCATGTACTTAATGTGAGGATACACACACTAGAGACCATTACAAGCACACAGGAACATAGGCCATCTCCATAGATTACCACAAAGTACAATCCTGAGTCACCTGCATCCATCCACTATGGGCATGTTTCATCAGGTCATCACTTTATCTAATGGGAGGCCACCCTACACTTGGCTACTGGAATGAATCTGTCACTAGACAACCATTATTCCCAATTCGATGGCAGTTCTTTAAGCTATATGGCCCGCCCATTGCAACTTCAGCCTAATGATCTGCTGGGCTTTGTTTGAATAGCAGAGAAATATTAGCATTTTATAATCAAATTTAATTATCTTAACAAGCATTAATATGTACAGAAATTAGTGGTGGTGCAGTTGCCAAACCGCCTGCCAAGGGAGAAAACTGGGGGTAACTATGGCAAATATCTCCCATATTGATAGACTGTAATAGTATAATATATACATAAGTTTAAGGCATATTTACTTACCGGCTAGATAAAAAAAGGCTAGGATAATTTATAGATTTCAGTTTTAACAGACCTATTTCAATTAAGCCCTGTATACTTTCTGGGTCAGGGTAATTTTTGTCACCCTTAAACCATAACTTTTCGGCGGACCTATAATAGCAATAAATGTAAATTCATGCATTTGATATTATTATATAAAAGTTTTTGGTTATGTATAGTACCTAAACTTTGTTCCTATATAGGAGAAAAATACAAGGTATCTAGCTTTCATGACGCTAAATAATAAAAAGTTAAAAAATAATACATAAATGTATATATAATATTAAAATTAAATAACAAATGTATTATGTATGTACTTTTTTTTATCTGGCTTTACGGCTCTGAGTTCTAGCCCTTCTGAGCTTGATTAGTATGTACTTGGATTAGCTATGAGCACAGAACACCATTACCAAGGAGTACTTTTTTATATAGGGAAACAATTTACTCTCTACCGATATGAACGCCAACCATTAATAAATAAAAATGTAGCAAACTAACGCCAACTTCATACTAAAAAAAGGAAACACGGGTATATGAGTGTACACTATAGTATATATACCATGGTGGGCATCCATATTAAACTTATTAGCGGGAATTTCAATCCCTATATTCTGTAACTTAAAAACTTTTTGTTTATTTAAAGTAAATTTGAGTAATTTTGGCACGAGCCTCACAAACCTTTCGGTAAATTCAAATACATTTGAGAGGTACCACCACAATTACTTGAATTTACTTTAGAGCAGTATGTAGGATAAAATAAAACTAAAAATAGGTATAGTTATGTAATTTTATTTTTTGGAAGAGATTGTTTTATACACTATACATTATTAATAAAGTTTTTATTGCTTTTGCAGATAATATTTTCACTGGTAATATTGATTTATAGCATATGTTATTGTGAGAGTTATTCTTCACAGAACAATTACGTAAAAATCAGCAAAATTCTCACGGTGAAAATTTTACTCAGCCCAAATACACGATCTGAAACAGATAAAATTAGAGTTAATATAGTAATAATCCCTACAAATAATGATCAATAAATTCAAAATGCTTAAAGACTTACTACAATATTGTGAAAAGTTTTTCTACTTGTATTGTAGGAAACCTGCAGAAAGTGATAAGTTGATTTTGTGCTTTTTGTTAGCACAACGCTTAATTTACATTCGATTCCGTAAAACGAGGTGAATAGGGATCGCGAGGTGAATAGGGACAAAATCGGGAATGAGGTTGGGACGCTATTTTAACAAAATATAAAACTTATGAATATGTAGAAATTATTTTGTCATGTAGTAGAATATATGAGTTTTTTCGTAGCAACACCTATCCATATTGAAGTTTGCACCAAATGGTCATAATTTTCATACGAAAACGAACCCTTGCACTTGTGTTTTTATATGCCCACAAAACTTGGATTATAATTTGAAAACTTGTTGTGTTAACGTAGCAAAAGTGTTTTTAAATTGATAATCCACACAAAAAGGTAAGTCTTATGTAACGAGGTTAAAAGAAACAGCAAAAGGTCGAATAGGAATGCTCTGAGTCTTAATAGGAACTTAAGTGCAAGTAAATAAGGATTTTTTTTAATTGAAACAGTAAATTTTTTTTTTTGGAGTTTATGGCCTGTTATCTAGACCTTTAGGCCAAGTCTTAAGTATTTTTATTCGGTTTATTGTAATTTCCCCACTCCTTCATAGTATACTGCTTCACAATATGTTGATGCGTCACATTGTGCAGTTCTTGGGAGATTTTGGCGGCAACTTGATCCAGCAGACAGCTGATAGTTGGCGATGGTATCTAAAGGTGCCTATGCAAACAAACAGCTTATCTTGAGAATCCATCACCATCAGAGCACTTGTTTCACTGTTTCCACTAATAGTTCACATGCGTAGACACTTAATACACAAAATCGCAACACTTTTACATATCAAAGTCCACTTCAAACCATTATTTAAACAATAATACAGGAGCAGCAAACCGCCGCCGGTCAATTTCCCGCCAAAACTCCAAAACAGTAAAGTTTGAATAGAGACAGGGTTGTCGCTTTATAAATACAATATTTGTACTAGCGATTCGGGTCGGCTTTGCTCGGATTTAATTGACTACAGAAAAAAGGCCTCATACAAACTTTTATTCCGTATTTTATACATTTGGGGGACTCAATTTGAAAAATGTTTCAAGATTCAGTAATTCCAGCTCTACATTGATAAGTCAATCAGTCTCTAGTTCGCTATTTATAATATTTGTATAGATAGATTAAATTGTTTAAAAATTAGTTACTTACAGTAGGTCAAATAATACCTATAGGTTCCATTTCACCTATTATATGCAACTAATTTTCATTATATTTTGTTTCAGATAATTATGCCTCGCACATACAAACCACGGGCAAGACAATATAAAAAAATACGATGAAGAGACGATAAATATTGCACTTAGAGAATATGTGAAGAGGCGTTATCGTGATGCAGCATGATTCCTCGAAGCCCGGTCTTTGGTCTTCTCTCCCGCATAGCTTGAAAAGCTTTGGGTAATGCAATTGTAGTATACCATTCAGAGTTGACTGACCTACAATTTTCCAGCATTCACGTCGACAAATGTCCGCTCCGCGAAAAAAAACCTAAGCACCATTTTTTGCCAACGTTGCGAGGTCTTTGCTGTTTTGTTGGTAACTGTCCTTCTGAGTAGACCCACACCGATGATTGCCTTTTATTTTCCGGATCATATTGATAGATACATGTCTCGTAACCAGTAACGATTTCTGAAACACGCCTAGATGCCCTGTTTTCAAATCGTAGACGCATTTCATGGCACCAATCCACACGAGTCTGTTTTTCGCTTTCGGAGGGCAAATGAGGGATCCAATCGACAACAAGGCTTCCTCACTCCAAGATGTTGATGTAGGAAACTACAATCTTTTCGATGTCCGTATATGTGATTCGTGGGTCTTCTCGCACCAACATTTCAGTAGTCTATACATTTTCTGCCGATACTGCTGTTTGCGGGGCCCCGGTTCTTTGGACATCTTTAATATTAATTTTACCCCTTTTGAATTCAGCAAACCAACTAAAAATTGTTGCGCGTGACGGAGCTAAGTCCCCTAATGCTGATTGTAACCGTTGTAAACTTAATTGTTCGGTTAAACCAAATTTAGAATCATAATATTTCTATCATAATAGTAAGATCCATCGTTTTAAATGAAAAGCGCGGGAAGCGTTTCAGGAAAATTAATAGAACTTTGTTTTTTTTTTTAATACTGAGCAGTTGGCTTATGAAGTTCTATTTTAAAATAAATTTGCTTTTTGAAACATTTAACACGGGTGCATTCCATTTTTAAATTTCAAGCACCTCAAAACTTATTGAGTGACCTACGTATATGTTAAGTTGCTGTTACATGGAAAATAGAAAGTTATGAATATAGGTAGTTATGATAACATTATCTGTTGTACCATAACAATAACGTTACGTTATTTAGAAAATACATAACGACACACCGATAACTTAGATTGTCATATTCATAGATTACTACATAGATATTAGACAAAAAAAGTTGTAGCTAGGATTACTGTATATTATATCTTTATAGGACGAAAGAAGTGTTGAAGTCCTTGTACAGTAGGGCTACGATGGCTGTCCAAGTACAGAACCAGAGTACGAAACCTATCCAATTTCAGAGAGGTGTAAGACAGGGTGACGTCATATCCCCAAAACTCTTCACCGCTGCATTAGAAGACGTTTTCAAGCTTCTGGACTGGAAAGGATACGGTATCAACATCAATGGCGAGTACATCACTCACCTTCGATTTGCCGACGATATAGTCCTTATAGCAGATTCGCTGGAGGACCTAAGCACTATGCTCAATGACCTTAATAGTGTTTCCCAACGGATAAGTCTTAGGATAGGTCTTAAGATGAACATGGACAAAACAAAGATCATGTTTATTGTCCATGTCACACCTATGCCGGTAGTTGCTGGGAGCACTAAGCTCGAAGTTGTTGACGAGTATGTTTACCTGGGACAAATAGTCCGACTAGGTAAGTCCAACTTCGACCGAGAGGTCAATCGACGGATTCAACTCGGTTGGGCAGCGTTCGGGAAATTACGGCATATCTTCTCGTCAGGTATACCTCAAAACTTGAAAACGAGACTGTACAACCAGTGCGTGGTGCCAGTGATGACATATGGAACTGAGACGTGGTCCTTCACTGCTGGCCGTGTGAGGAAGCTCAAGGTCGCTCAGCGAGCTATGGAGAGGGCTATGCTCGGAGTTTCTCTGCGTGATAGACTTAGAAATGAGTATATCCGCAGTAGAACCAGAGTAACCGACATAGCCCAACGGATTAGTAAGCTGAAGTAGCAGTGGGCCGGTCATATAGCTCGAAGAACCGACAACCGATGGGGAAAAAAGGTTCTCGAGTGGCAGCCTCGTACCGGCAGGCGAAGTTCGTGCGATCCCCCACTAGATGGAGTGACGACCTGGTAAGATATGCAGGAAGTCGATGGATGCAGGTGGCTCGGGACCATGCTTTGTGGCATTCCTTGGGGGAGGCCTATGTTCAGCAGTGGACTTGTGAAGGGCTGTATTGATGATGATGATGATTTCTTTATAGTATACAGTAGTCCTGAGCTGTATATCACAGATTACTTTTAATACATACATATACTACTAGTCTACGACCGTATATCTCATCAAGTGTACCAAGTGTCTGAGGATACAGATGCACTCTCTATTCTCTCAATTTCGGTATGTAAAGAAAATGGTCACTCATTGATGGACTGACCGCGGCAAGTGCAACTTAATCTCGCAGATCTATTGATCCACGCAACTATTACTTTACCGAGAGTTCCTCTTCTTTACGACTAACGCTGTGGGCGATGAAGCACGCTATTTAAGCCCAATCGGCACAATGTCGTCGGCCATCAAGCATGAATCGGGCATCAAGCGTTGTGAGTATCAAATACTATAGAATTTATACTATCCTGGCACATTAAATCGCACGTCTCATGCGTGGGCGTCTGTGGCGCTTCAAGAGCATTACAAAGTATAGTATATCTAACTACGCTAAAAGTTTTATCATTACGACTTGAGAATATAATCGGAAGCTCGGCGCAACCCCTTGGAGAAAATAGCGAGAAGCTATGAATATTGCACTAGTGTGACCGTGAGGTGCGGGTGGTGACGTAAGATTATACATGTTTTTTTTTAGTTAGGTTCATAAGGGCTTAAATAGGGTAATCTCAAGATTTTTTATCTTTAATGTACTACAGTTTTATTATGTACTAGCTGTTCCTCGCAACTTCGCCTGCGTGGAATTTGTTACGATTTGATTTCATGGGTTTTAAATTTTTTAACGCGGAACCCAAATTATTTTACTTAAACAAAAATAGCCGAAGTTACTCCTTATAAAATCAGCTATCTGCCAGTGAAAATCCCGTCAAAATAGCTCCAGCCATTTAGGAGATTAGCCGAAACAAACAGACAGACAAAAATTTAAAAAATTTTTTTTGTTATAAATACCGTAAATACTTTCATATGTATTTAGTAAAAAGCTGTTAATTTTATTATTGACACCACACTCACTAAAAATAACCACTGCTGCACTTTAAAAAATTACAAAATATCTAGGAGCTTATTTCTTACGTGCTGAATTGGGCCGACCTGTCATTCAAAATCGGTTACAGACTCATGAAATTTGGTATCCTTTTCTATCTTGCATTTTTACCGTAAGGAATTTTGTTCTTCCTTATATTCTAACAGTCTTATTCATAAAAATCCCTTAAAATGGCGTTATAACACTCTTTAGTTAAAGTGCTCATTAGTACTAATAAACCTATTATAAAATTCTGTATTCATAAACGTTCTATAAACCTCTTTTAGTTAAATCGTACTTAAGGAATACTTTAGTTTTATTATGTTGTCACTCTGATGAATCCTAGCGACGGTAAAAAAAAAGTTTGACAGCAATTGTGACATTCGCCGCGAATAACAATGATATGTATAAAAATATTGAAACAATTATACTGTCCGATTCTGATTAAAAATATGTTTTTTTTTTAACTCTGACCCATAACATGCTACTAAATAAACAAGGTAATTCTACCGTATTTCAAATATATATTACAACATAATTTCGAAAATTCTACCGTATTTTTAGAAGAATTCTACCGTCCGCTAGATTTCAGACTTGGCAACACTGCATTCGCGTCAAATTAAGCCTACATATATATTTATCTATGAATTAAGCGCGTTGTTTTCTTATATCAGTTCAAGAAATTGATTTGAGTTATATTTTTTACTCAATAGTAATGTAAAACAGTACAAGTAAAAAGCGGCAAGGAAGCGAAATTTGGCTGGAGGAAGATAAGGTTAGTACGTAACTAAAGTAATTTTCTTCATAGGTGCTTAGTGCAAAAGTTCACTGTGTTATTATAATAATATCCTTTTTCTTTCCATAGCTTTTATTAATGGATTTGGTAAGAGAACGTGTATTAGTGATTGAAAATAAAAATACTGATACAAATACGAACTCAAAAAAGCTAGCAGCATAGGCGGATTTATTATGCAGACCTATTTTTGTCTATCAATGTGTGAAGTGTTTGAAGACGAGTCTTCAACGCAATGATATTCTATATACGGTCAGTTACATTACTATGCAACAGAAGCATGTCACTTTGTCTCTAGCTGGCATAATACATATAAGTTTAAAGTCACATAACAGTCTTCGGGAAGAGCTATGACAGGAGCCTCCCTATCCAATAGGATTCATTATGATGAAACTTATTGAATGTATTACTTGAATAAAATGAAATGGTCTATTTAAACTTGAATTTTATTTGATGAAATATTTAAGATTAAGTTAATGTAAATAAGTTTCTTTTAACGGTTTTCATTACTGCAGGTTGTAGCTACTGGCTCACCACCAAAACCACTGTTTACACCTTCTAAGAAACCTGGAAGAAAATATAAAAGTGAGAAAAAGGTAAATACAATGACATCTATTCTAATAGGGATTGTGTTAATTTATGAAATTGTTGGTTTGATTTTTTTTTAAATACTCAAACATAACTATTTTTATTTCAGACCAGCAAGTATAGCCAATACTGAAATTGAGTGTAGGAAAGAGGTCCATCAAGCCCAATTGGCAAATGAAGGAAGGAAAGCACGAACTTGGACCTAGAGGAGACATTAATAAAAATAAAAATTGAATATTATAATAAAAACTACAAGTTCTTGCAAAATAAAATGTAGCACCTACTTACTGATAGCCTTAATTAGTTAAAATGCCTATTAATAAATGCTCATAGAAGAGCATTTTGGAGTGTCTTCCTCTGGCCTCACTAATTTGAGGTAGAAGTTCAACATCCACAATTGCATTGAGTTTGTCATCACGATCTGAAAATTATATTACAAATATTATTATGTAAAAAATAATATTATATTCATGAATGATTAAAATTATTTGTGTGCAAATTACCTGGTACTGAATCTTGTCCTATTGCAATATTGTTTAACACTGCAAGAGTCACAACTGTAGGTTTCACATTTTTCATGTCTTACTGTCATGCCATAAAATAGACTGACACTGCTGCTTCCACACTCCAAAGCAACGTTCAACACAGTTTCGAGTGGCAATTTATGCTCGATTATATCTTTCTTCATGCTCATTTTGAGGTCTTAGTATAGGTGTAAATAGATATGGCTCTAATCTGTAGCCTGAATCTCCTAAGAGTCTGCCTCTTAACCCTTTAACTGGTAGAGGAAACTAGCCATGCAATTGTAATGAAACTCAGATATATTATGTAAGTATGTATTGTAAAAAGGAAAAAGTTATTTTTTTATTTTTTTTAAAAAAAAAACTATGTTGGCTATATAATTGCCACTACTGGTCAGCACACATGTGAAATTGTTTGAAACATGGAACAGCACAAAGAGGCACTTCACATTTGTCACATTGTATGTTGGATCTTTTATTCTTAGTTGCGCTGCTGCATACTCGGCAGCGCCTGTATGTTTCTATGCCTTCTGGTAAGTGCTCACCAACATTGGCGAAACGAATATCTTCAGGTACACCAAAAAGTTTCTTCTGTCGAGTGAGTACCTCTGCACTAGCCTTCCTTTTCTTTGCTAAGAATTTAGGAGCAGTTGAAAATTTTCGTTTCCGAAATGTCAAATTGTTTACTAGTTCTCGGGCAAGAGTAAGCCTGAACATCTTTTGGCTCATGGGATTGTGTACTCTTGAATTCTTTGAGTACAATATATGAGCATTTGTGATTGCTACATCGAACAAGAAAAAAAATAACCGCTTCCACCATTTTTTGCTTCGACGAGCGACATCATAAGTGGCTTTTGCTGATCAAATTTATCAACTCCGCCCATTCGCTTCGAGTACTCTACAACTGAGCGTGGACAGGGAAAAGGTCTTTTGCTTTCATCCTTTTGTGTACGTTGACATGTAGCCTCTTCTTTCGGGTGAAAGGCTGTACTCATAATGGTTACTAATTTTGTGTCCTTCCAGATCGAAAATCCTACGTTGTTCCGAACTCGCCACTTATACTGCCCTTTTTGTAGTTGTTTCAGTTTTTTATTTTGCCTCTTCATGATTTCGCCGCAATTTCTTAGACCAGTAGGTTTCTTTACTAAAACAGGCATTCCCAATCTGTCATTTCTCGCTGTTGCTGTACTGTATATGCCATGGTCGTATAAATATTGAAGAAGGTCATAACTACTAAAAAAGTTGTCAAAGCTAATATGAGCTGAGCAACCTTCATCGATAAGTGGTTGAGCTAGAGTTTTTACCACACTACTTCCTAGACCAGTTTCCACATTGTCTCCTTTACCAGTATAGACTTGGAAGTGAAACAAATACCCAGTTTTGCTATCTGCTCTAGCCCAAATTTTGTAACCGCGCTTGACAGGTTTGAGGGGCATATACTGTTTTAGCGTACTGCGTCCCTTGATCTTTACCATTGATTCGTCAATGGACTGAGATCTTGTATTTCGGGCATTATTTTGACACCTCTGGTTTATTTGATCGAGTAGTGGGCGAATTTTATAAAGTTTGTCGAAACCTGTTTCACCTCTTCTGGGCATCTGTTCGTTGTCATTTACATGTAGACATCTAGAAATCTTTTGAAATCTTTGGAGCGTCATGGTTTCAGCAATCTCAGGGACACATAATGCTGGATTGCTAGACCAGTAATCTTCAATTGACGGTAGTTTGTGTATCCCCATTTGTATTAGCATTCCAAGATATGCTTTGAGTTCGTCTTTAGTAATTTGAGTAAAATTTCTAACATTTGATTGACGAGCAAACAAGTTTGATTGAACAAGTAGGTTTTCAATCACATCATTATCAAAAAATACTTCGAAGTAAGCGATTGTTCTAGATCTACTCGGAAAATGGTTCTGCGATTGAAGTTCGTCTTCATCGAAGGAAGGCACGTTCGGATCATTTGTCCAATCAACTTTCTTCCATTCTATTTCTTCTTCATCGGAATCTGATTCTTCTGAAACCAAGGCGGTGGATGCAGTCACCTCTGCATCTCGTGTATTGATTGATGTGGAATCAAAGGGTCGTGCAGTGGTGGCGCTAGATGTTGAAGCACGCAGTACTCTAACGTTTCCTGCTCCTCCCACTTCATTATCACTTTCACAATCTGTTGTCCCTTCACTTGTCTCATTCCGAATATTCTCTCTTCTGTTGTTGCTTTCTGTACCTATTTCGTCTTCAATCTCATGGTCGTCATCTTCTTCCCATTCATCCGTTGCCTGTTCTGGCCCATGTTTTCCGTGTCTTCTACTACTTCTAGCTGTCAACAAAGAGTCTGCAAAGTCTGTTTCAATGCAAGGTTGAAAAGAGGAATCGTTGTTAGGCGAAAGCAATTGTTCAATGTCATCAGTATCGGAATCTTCCAAACTGTCTTCTGAATCTGTACCATCTGAAAGGCCAAACATGGCTTCCAACTGCAACTCAATTTCGCGATCGTTTATCGACCGACGACGGTGCTCCATATTTTATTCTGTAAATAAAAATAAATCTCACTGGTACTGGCATATATATTGCCATCAACAGGTAATGTACTAACTGGTAGTGGCAAATATACTGCCGACTTGATATTTCCCGATTTCTATAATAATATTGAATATTGATCTAAAATAATTATCCAAGATTGACATAAAAACACAAATCTAACGATTATTAAAAAAAAACTTACCAAAATAACAGTTTTTTGTAGAGATTGAGCCGGATTACTCTCGAGAATCGAAAATGCCACAAATTCTAACTAACTTGACATATATTTGACAAATGTCAAATGAATGTTACCAATTATTTTTTTTTCCATCGTACTAGTTTGTTGTCTATTGCCCGAAATGATGAAACGTTTCGTTAATACAAATCTTCTTTTAGTAGAGCTACGAAAACATGTCGGCAAATATAATGCCTCTACTAGACAAAGGGTTAACTCTCTTCTTTCAAAGCGGATTCATTAAAGAAAATGAGAATCATGGGTACTGCCTCACCATCTGGCAACCATGTCTCTGATATATAGTTTAACATTGCAAACTACCTGCATTAAAAATGAAAAATATGTGAGCACAGTTATGTATGTAGGTAAAATAAGTACACATGTATATGAGGAATATATCACCTGGCAAAGAACTGCATTGTATTATAATATGAACTTGCACATTCAATGAATAAAACCCTTTTCGGTTTATATAATACTGAGCTGCATCACCACCAAATTTCTTTATTTTTATGTGAGTGCAATCAGTGCAACCCAACACGGAAAATTTCTTATATCTAAAAGTTCCCTTATAATCCTTTGCTCTTCTGCCAAGGACTGCGGCATTTTTATGTAGGTTGTAGTGTTATGCTACTCACGTATCATTTTACATTATTTTAAATTCATTTTTCCATTGTGTTTCGATTTTCTGCATTCACCTCAAAACTGGATATTTTACATCACCTTTATTTCCATAGGATCCTGTAACGATTTTAAACCATAAGAACACAATAACAAATCATTTCTACTTCGTATTTTCACATTATCAGCACTTTTAAATTGGTGTCAATGGAGTCTACCTTTTTTCGATCTTTTAGCTAGTTTTCTGTAACTCTACAATCTTGGATTTTGTGTGGGCAGTTGCGCTACCTTTTTTCCTATATCAATAATATCTCATTTTCCACTTAAATCTTATAGTTTTCTTATTATAAACCAAAAACAAAAATTTGACATATTTTGTCTTTCTTATTTATATCGTTTCCATGGAAATTATATTCAAATTTGCTACCGACCTGTTATTCCTATTTCGATAATTACACATAAATCCTCCTTTCTCTTGACCATTTACAAAAAATTTGCGTATAATTTAAATAATTTTTCCGTTCTCTCTAGAAAGGTATAAAAGCCGAACAATCGGTGAAGAAAGGCAGTCTCGCTTCAGTTCGCGAATTGGAAGTATCTCCTAAAGGCCTTATCCCGGGGCCGCACTGCCCCGGGATCCTGCAAGCCTCCATTTACACGTGAAGTCTTCGGCGAAGCCTTCTTCAAACTCGAGCCGCGCCACTCCGGAATCCTACAAGCCTCCATCTACCTCGGAAGTCGCTTCGAGTCTACTACAAGCGCGGGGGCCACACTACTCCGGGCACTACTACTACTTACTCCAGGCGCCGAGTGCACCTACCGCCGGCGCTACCTTTGGGCGCTGCAACTGCTAGCTCTAAGCGTTGCGCGCCCCTTCTCCAGGCGCTACGTGCGCCGGCTCCGGACGCTGCGTGTACTGGCTCCAGGCGCTGCGCGCCGTCGCTGCTAAGAAACCTACTTCTACAAGCGCAAACGGCGTGTACTGGCTTCAGGCGCTGCGTGCCGTCGCTGCTAAGAAACCTACTTCTACAAACGCAACGTGTGTCGCTTCGACTTTTAGGCCCCACTTCAACGCTATATTCCCCTATTCTCTCACCTTTATTTTTTTTTATAATCTAATTGTATTCTCACTTCATTCATCATCATCCTCATTCCATTTTTTTTATAAAATTGTAAATACCTTTTATAAATTTAAATATATTGTTTTCTGGCTCTACTTTTGTTGTTTTGTTGTACTTAGGTTAGGTTCTATATTTTTTTTTATTGTCGCTTCACGACAAGGTGTCAGAGTGACGAGCAATCGCACGAGCTACTCTGGCACAAATGCGACTTACAATTGGTTGACTCAACCCATGAAGGTCTCCTCCATCGTCTTGAACCTGAAAAGGATAGGTACAAAAACGTTTACACACTCAAATAGTATATTATTACTTGTACGCTACAAGTTGACTTACTTCACGACGTCCCCAACATCTAATGGCGGTTTACACCTGCAATTCTGGTGACGTTTCACAACCTCTTGAGTCCAGTTGTAAATCCTGCTTGACGAGATCAATTATAAAAGATGCCGCATGTTTTTTGAAGCGGTATCGCTGTTTGAACTACATCAGGCAAAGAAAACGGATCATATCTCTTCCGGTAAACCTTACGACGATGATGCGGAGCATTTTCTACTTGGTCCATAGCTTCTAAAGCTTGCATAACGACGCTTTAGCAATTAAAATCCACAAAAAACAATTTCACCAACAATAATCTATACAACTTCAACAATCAGCTGTTCGTTGCTCGCACTCAGATCGGCCATTTTTCCCTTATAACAGGTTTATAGTACGGTGGACCCTTCTATAACTTATGAAGCCGCTATTGAACACATATAGTACGTTTTAGCGTTATAGTGCGTTTATGAATAGTGTTTTACGGGTACCTCTTAATAAGAAGCTAATAAACCTATTTTAACTTTTTATGAATAAGACTGTAAGTGTATGGGTCCACGCAGTTTCAGTATATACCAGTATATACACTCTTATCTATGGGTCCACGGTCCACCACACCACAGTGTCACCATAGATAAATAAATAATTATGTAGTAAGCTATGTGTCACTCTAGTATATAATTATCTGTGGTGTCACTGTCTCATTGCAGATTCTAAGAAGGGCTAGAACCCAATGCTGTAAACCAGTTATATTTATATTATGGAGTGTAGCAAGAAGGAGGACACTGTCTGCGCCCACTTTTCCCAAAAGAGGGTCGCTTCCGATTCGGCATAAGAAGCTTAAACAGCTGGTTGTCAGTCCCCAAAGGCGGTTTTTAGCGGGTACCACTTAGGTCCCCTGTAGGCAGTGAGTCCCGCATAACCACGACAGACCGGCTGTCGTGGTATGCATAATGCATTTTCCGCCTCCCTACGTAAAGGGTAGCCCTTTTGCAATTGCTTCTGGGGGCCAAAAAAAAAAGAAGGAGGACCATCTCTATATAAGAAAAGTGTCCCTAAAACGCGTCCAATAAGGGTGGCGCTGCAGTAGCATAGGATAAATTAAAAAAGCGCCAAAATTAACTAGAATAAGATGGAGAAATAAGCAAGGACCGACCAATAAGCTTGGTTTTACGTAAATAGTTTAGGGTTTGTATACTGGCATTTTATTAACTACTCTAGTCATGAAATTTTTAAAATATTTGAATTCAGTTGACTTCACTCCGTCTGCAACAGCTATATTCATATCGTAGTTTTTCAGACGCCAGTGCTATTGTGGTAGGTTTTGGATACTCTATTTTCAGTAAATAGTAGGACACTTTTTCAACTTTCGCCCCTTATGAGATGGTTCTCCTTGTACTCTACACTCCATAATTTATATTTGCAGATATTGTCATTTGTCATTCTGACAGGGAGTTTTGGCGGGAACTTGACCAGCGGCGGTTTGCTGCTCACTGTATTATAGTTTAAATAATAGTTTGAAGCGTATTTTGATATGTAAAAGTGGTGCGATTTTATGTATTAATTGTCTACGCATGTGAACAATTAGTGGAAACGGTGAAACAAGTGCTCTGATGGTGATGGATTCTCAAGATAAGCTATTTGCTTGCATAGGCGCCTTTAGATACCATCGCCAACTGTCAGCTGTCTGCTGGTTCAAGTTGCCGTCAAAATCTCCCAAGGGCTGCACAATGTGACGCATCAACATATTGTGAAGCTTAAAATTCTATATATTCAAAATAAAAAAGGCAAGGCTGTATGGCTTAGTTCCTTTGCCTACTCTCTCGAGCGAATAATAAAAACAACAATCATTCTGACAGTGACATGACATTAACAACTTTAACAACTTCACTTAAAAATGGCTCAACGGACGTGGCATATGTTTTTCGTAATAATACTAATATTTACAGTTTTATCACTTGTTGGCGATGTTTTGTCTACATCACCGGGACCGTGGTATGAGAATCTACCGGCGGTAACCATGGATTATAAGGTTCATATAGATCCTGGAAAAGAAGATTGTTACTTTCAATATGTACAACCGGGTGCCACATTTTACGCTAGCTACCAGGTAATTAGCAGCTCTTTCTATATAAGACCACGTCATAAAAATGTTCATGTCATGATTATTATAAAGTTGTAATGTAATATATCTGTTATGTTAAAAATGTGTTTTCTTCTTACGGGATGTTATATCTAGAAAACTATGTTGTATTTTTTTTTTCAGGTTTTAAAAGGTGGTGATGGTATGTGTGGTTTTGCCGTACGTCATCCTAATGGGAAAATAGTGCATCCGTATGAGTGGCGCCAGAGCGCCGAGTATGCGGATCAGACCAGTTCAGGGGGCTACTATGCAGTTTGTATAGATAACCAATTCTCTAGATTTGCTGGAAAACTGGTGAATTTGTACTTATCAGTGATAAGATATGACATGTGGGAGAAATATGCTAAGGAAGTAGAAGAGCTTGATATGAATATTAAAAATTTTACAGTAAGTTGTTACTTTCTTCATTTCGTTTTAGTTGTTGAAAACTTCTTTAGAATTGTGATTTGAAACTCAATGAAACGAAAAAACGACACTTATACAGACAAATATATGAACCTATACAATAGGCCTAAAAGAGAATGAGATAGAATGTATACTATAATATAATAAATCAGTAGAGGTTTTTATTTGTTTAAACATGCTAATCTCTGGAATTGGTCTGTTTGATAAATTCTGTTTATATATGATTTTTTAATGTGGTAGAGCTATACTGCAGATATATTGTGGTTGCAGAACAAATGTGTTGGTTTGCCTAGGATAGGACTACACTCTTATAGAATATCAGCTTAATGCTGCTGTGTTTCGTATGGTGAGTGTAGAGAACTGGAGACCCTTTTTACTGGAAATGAGGCATTCCATTACACCTAATTGAGGTTAAATGTAGATGTCTATGGGCCTCGGCATCCACTTACCATCAGGTGGACTGTGTGCTTGTTTGTCACCCTTGTTCTATAAAAAAAATGGAATAAAAAAATTACAAATTTATTTATTATCAAATAAATAAAATTAATTATATTGAAAAAAAGTATAATATCCCAACCATTCTTAACAATCCAGCATGTCATATCTTACAGATTTATATTAAAGTAGTTTTTTTTTATATGATAGGGTGACAAACGAGCACACAGTCCACCTGATGGTAAGTGGTTGCTGTGGCCCATAAACACCTACATTTATCCTCGTTTACAAATCAAAATGCAGATGTGTATTGTATGTATAAATCTAACCTCGAGTAAGAATAAAATTCAGATGCATTGTCGCCCCTGAGGACTAAAATGTTATGGCTTGCTTCCATTAAAGAGGACAACTTAAAATATGGAGAAAATTATAAAATGGCTTATGGTTTCATTTAAATTATAACCAACAATTATTTTGATTTTACGAAACATCTCAATTTATCTCAACAGCAGAACCTCACTTCATGCACTTTTGGCCAATTATTCCAGCAAATGGCACTATATTATTTATTCCGTCTCTATTTGCAGCATTCCATACAATTTGTGGAGAGAAACATTAATGATATCCTGCAGTATCAATATCATTCCAGAGCAAGGGAGTCTCGTGACTACAACTTGTTGCAGGATAATAATGCTTATGTACTTAGGTAAGCACTTTTCCACTGTTTGTATTAAACTGTTTTATCCAATTAAACTTTTCAACCAATTTTCTTGAAGGACTCTAAAATAATTTTAATTTTCAAATTATGATACAAGTTCAAACCAATTGCATGCGACACTTAATTGTATATCAACCATTTGATTAGGTTCTGAAAAAATCTTTATTATATCTATTTAACCACAAATGACTTTCAAATACGTAATCTGTATTGGGTAAAAATTATTTGTATTCTACTCCAACTAAATTTATCTGTGGACTTGAAAAAGTAAAGAAAGTAGCAGTAAAGACATGAGGCCTTTCTTATTTTCGAGATAAGAAATAACATCCTCTTTAGTTGGTGGTTTACACACTTCTTTTTCAACCCTGAAAAGTTCACTGCCGGACACAAACCGCTTTCTTTGTAGGAAGTTCTAACCTCTTATTTCACCCATGGGATACAGCAATATGGTTTCCTTGTTGTAAACGAAGCTTTGGCCATCGATATGATATATCTCCAAAATTTGGCCATACCCATATTCCACTGGTTGGTAATGGTAAGCAGCAAAGTAGTAGTTCTATGCTCATCACTGTCTTGGCCAGCATGTTGAAAACGGACATATTTTTCAAGATTGCATGCTTTTGTTAACTGCACATTAAAAGACCTATATTAATAAGATTTATGGTCTGGTAACTTTATTCATGGAGGGTATATTACCATGGCTGCCACGCTTGGCGAGCGAGTTGGCAAATATAGCTCGAAAAACCGACTACCGATAGGGAAAAAAGATTCTCGAGTGGCGGCCTCGTACCGGCGGACGAAGTGTAGGCGTCCCCCCACTAGATGGAGTGACGACCTGGTAAGACATACAGGAAGTCGATGGATTCACATGGTTCAGGAACGTGCTTTGTGGCGTTTCTTGGGGGAGACCTATGTTCAGCAGTGGACTTGTGAAGGGCTGTAATGATGATGATGATATTGGTTTAATATCACTAATCCCTATCATTATTATTATTTCTACATAGTCCAACTGCTGTGTAAAGGTTTCCCTTTCCTATTTCTTTGGTTTATTACTTAAAATTCAAATTTTTTCTCGTATTGAGGCAAGCACGTCTCTGCATCTTCACTTAGGCCGGTTGCATAGCTGGTTCAGGCCATGTGGGGTCCATTTAATTGTAGTTTTGGCCCATAAGTATCTCGGTTGACATATCCGACACAGTCCTATTAGGCCATAGCGGGATTAGGCGTCGGGTCGATTATCTAGGTTTTTCAACGTTATATTGTAATTTGTATACAGAATCAATTTAAAATATCAACATATCCAATAGCAAATTGTTTCAACCGTTTTGTGGCATTCCTTGGGAGAGACCTATGTTCAGCAGTGGACTTCTAAAGGGTTGTAATGATTATGATGATGGTGGTGGTCTGGTAAACAAATTAAAGGAAAAAAAAAAGGAATTATTTGTGTCGAAATCTATAAATTATATGAGATTCATTTTCTTACAGATGGTCATTCATACAAATCCTAGCGATAGCTGCAACGGGAACTTTACAAGTGTATTTTGTACGAAAACTTTTTGAGGTTAAGGATAACTCGTCCAAGACAAGAATTTGATTAATTTTAAGGTTTTTATTGTTATATCTCAATCTGACTGAATCTGTTATTCATGTTATCTTGTCATCTTTGCATCAATCTTATTTTATGATCTCTTTTTTATTTTGTAAGCATTTATAATTTACTACAAACAAATCTCCGTTTGTCCTGTCCCGTAAAACGAGATTGTACGATTATTTTTTTATACTTTTATTAATTTAACTAGTACTCATTTAGTGTACAAACAAATTTTAACCTTGATGTTGTATAAATTTAACATTATTTTTAATGAAAAGACAAAGTAACATATTTTTATACATGCTTATTATACATTGCTGTTCACTATATTGTTGATAAGTAAGTTATATTCTTACTAATGCTATATTATTCTACTTAAACGTTTATTTAGCAATGTTAACCTCACACTGCATATTGTGATTAGTTGGCATTTTGCATTGGTAGGTTGAATATAACTTAAAAAATTAAATGACTTGTTGAGTATTTAGTAATTGTTTTATTGGGATTTCCTTTTTAACAGTCATTTCATTTATTTTTCATGTAGATATGAAAAATGAAAATCGTTCTTATTAGTTGGATGTTACATCCGACAGAAATTAGGGCCGTTTTCATACTCTTTCCATAGAGCCACACGGCCCACCGGCGGACTGGAGGGGAGTAGCCATAGCATTTTCCCTCGATAGAGAACTGCCTATCATTTTTTGCGCACACATAACAATCGTTAAAACGAAATGCATAACAATTAAAACAATAAAGTAACAATTTCACACATACACATATATATGTTATAACAGTATCCCTCGGTGACAGCGACAACTCTGATCAGTCGCTCGACCGATGTACATATTATATGAGGGCCAGTGGCGTAGCTACCCAGGGGCTAGGCGGGGCAGAGCCCCGGGGCCCCCAAGCTACAGTGGCCCTTCGGCTTCCAAGAACGACGTTCGAAAAATTATGTACTATCCTAGTTGTATAAAGAATTTTCGAGTTTTAACTTTTTGGTCCCTAACCGCAAACGGCCTGAACTGAAATCACAAAAATTACTCCCACTTCTAGAAAATAAATATAAAATTGACTTTTTTTTAATAGAGATTGTTAATTAATTGTCTACTTCGTTTTATTGTCTTTTTATACAGAAGAGTGGGACAAACGAGCATGCGGCTCACCTGATGGCAAGTGTCGACCACCGCCTATTAACAAATACAACACCAAGGGAATTGTAGGCACGTTGCCGGCTTTTTAGAAAGGAGTAAGCTCGTTTCTTGAAACTCCCTAAGTCGTATTGGTCCGACGGTAGTGGACCGCCAAACATCCCGATGATGTGGATTTGTGAAATGCAATTTTGTGGCTGGAATTAATCCGAACAATTCCTCTGAACACTCCCCGTGGTAAATGCGATAGAAAATGCAAAGGGATGAAACATATTTTCGTCTTGTCTTTCGTCTTCGTCGGTCGTCGACAATTCGAGCCGCTCTGCGCTGGATGTGGTCTAGTGAAAGAAGCTGGTACTAGGGAGCCCTGGCCCAGGGATGAGAACAGTATTCCACGTTAGGCCGAACCTGCCTCTTGTAAAGTTGCAAGCAGTGTGCCGGCATTAAAATACTGTCCCGTTTTGCTGAGCACGCCAAGGACTTTTGAGGCCAAGTCAGCCTTCCCTTTCAAGTGACCACGAAACTGCACGTTATTCGATGTGTTAACGCCGAAGATTTCGATACAGGCTGAGGTAACAAGGAGAGTGCCCTAAAATTGAGTAGTAACGCCAAAGGGGTTTTTAGTGGTAAACGCGCAAACTTGTTTCTTTGACTTTATCCGGCAAAAACTCGACTTCAGACACTCCGTTTGTTCCGGTACTCGGCGACGTTTTTCCGATAAATGTAGGCACAGCCGCTGTACGCCAATCTGCAAGAAAACTGCTGATCCAGTTGCACAAATTCTCGGGAAGCCCATAGGAAAGGAGCTTCGAAAGAAAAGTGTCAAACCCGATCGGAGGCCTTCGCTATGTTTAAACTAACGGCCAGGATCTCCCTCTCTGCCTGAGCTGAGCAACCCCGAAGGAAATCGTACTGGCGGTCACTTTTCAGTTAGTGATCCTCCACCTCATGAGCTGGCAGTTCACAATAGTTTTCATTATTTTGGACAACAAGTTGCATAGGTCTGAGCGGTTGATGTTCGGTTATTTTTTGATCTGATGATCACTAAACTGTCTTCTTTGAGTTCTGGATTACGTAAAGGGAGAAAGAGTTTTAGAAAAGACACGTTACGACCGGTGCCAACTAGAAAGCACACGTCTTCAGCACAATGGGAGGAACTTCATCAGGCCCACTCAACTTGACGTTTAGGGAGAGTAGTGCTATCGAGCGCTGTGTAAACCGTAACGTACCGACGTGAAGGCGAAATTATATAACGGTGGTAGAGCCACGCAGCAGTTTTTGCTGTTGCATGTATGGGTCGGCTCGAGCCGGGTTGGTACCACGACCTCACAGAATACCGGCGTGAAGTAGAAGCTTTGCTTCTGCGTTTCGTCTGGTGAGTGCAGGTGGCCGGAGGCCCAATTCCCCCCCCCCCCCATCAACATGGTAGCGGAATTACACGAAGAACTACCCCAGGAGGGTACCAGCACCCCTGGAGAATCCCTCGCTGAGCATCCACGACCATGTTATTCCGATCCTGAGCGGGGGTGCTCAGGCTGCCCCGCGTATTCTGGGGGGGGGGCAAAATTCCGCTCAAAAGCATTACTGCTAGGGGCAAACTGAGCAAGAACACCAAGGCGACCCCTGCCACGCTATCCGTGAATTTCTGCAACATCAGGGGACTTCACTCTAACCTAAACGCCGTCCACTACCATCTCGAGACGGCGAAGCCGGCCTTGCTCTTTCTGACCGAGACGCAGGTTTCCTCTCCGGCTGATATTTCGTATCTCTCCTACCCGGGGTATAAATTGGAGCATTCCTTTGTGCCTCGGGCTGGAGTTTGCGTGTATGTCAGAGAGGACATCTGTTCTCGACGCCTCGGCAGTCTTGAAGGTTCGGACCTGTCCATCCTTTGGCTACGCGTAGACAGCGACGACCATCCGCGCGTCTACGGGTGCCTCTATAGGTCCCATAGCGGTAATGCCGAAACAGACCGACTCATCGACCACGTCCAAATGGCTACAGATTTCTTGCTACAACAGGTCCCATCCGCAGAGATCGTGATCCTTGGCGATTTTAACGCCCACCATGCCGAATGGCTCGGTTCACGTCTAACCGATCATGCGGGGAGATCTGTTTATGACTTTGCCTTGGCATATGGTCTGACACAACTGGTTACTTCGCCTACGCGGATTCCAGATGTGGAGGATCATACACCTTCCCTGTTGGACCTTCTGCTGACCTCTCATCCGGACGGATATCTGGTTTCCGTCGATGCCCCTCTCGGCTCTTCGGACCATTGTCTGATCCGGAGTGTGGTGCCACTCACGCTCCCTTCGCGGTTGCGTTCTGCAGGTTGCCGCCGTGTTTGGCATTACAGGTCGGCGGATTGGGACGGAATGCGGTCCTTCTTTGCATCCTACCCATGGGGGCGGGTTTGCTTCTCGCCGGATGATCCCAGCGCTGTTGCTGACTCTGTCACTGATGTGGTGCTACAGGGAATGGAACTATTTATTCCATCATCTGTGGTACCCATCGGAGGCAGATCTCAGCCTTGGTTTGGTCGCTCCTGTAAGACTGCATTACGCAGTAAGCAGGAGTGTTATCAAGCCTGGGCTGCGGCTTCGGCGACTCGGGATGTAAATACCAGCACACTTAAAAAGAAGTATAACTTCGCCTCCAGGTCCTTCAAAAGAGTTATTGCCAAGGCAAAGTCAGAGCACATAGGCAGAATTGGCGAGAAACTAGTTCGCCTTCCTTCGGGAACCCGTGCATTCTGGTCTCTCGCCAAGGCTGTCCAAGGGAATTTCTGTAAGCCATCACTACCATCTCTGCACAGGGAGGATGACTCACTGGCCCATGACGCAAAAGACAAAGCCGACCTTTTAGGCTCCCTTTCTGCGTCCAACTCGACTCTTGATGACGGGGGGAAAACACCGCCGACCATCCCGCGGTGTGAGTGCTCCATGCCGGATGTGCTGTTCTCACAGCGCTCGGTTCGCAAAGCACTGCTCTCCCTGGACATCGAGTGGGCCTGACGGAATCCCCCCAATTGTGCTGAGGACGTGTGCTCCGGAGTTGGCACCGGTCCTAACGCGTCTTGTCCGGTACTCCTACTCCCAAGGCGTAGTCCCGAATTCATGGAAGACAGCTTTTGTCCACCCGATCCCTAAAAAAGGCGACCGCTCAGACCCATCCAACTATAGGCCTATCGCGATCACCTCCTTGTTCTCCAAAATAATGGAATCCATTATTAACTGCCAGCTCATCCGGTACCTTGAGGATCACCAGCTGATTAGTGACCGCCAATACGGTTTTCGTCGGGGTCGATCAGCTGGTGATCTTCTGGTCTACCTGACCCATAGATGGGCGGAGGCAGTAGAGTCCAAGGGGGAGGCGTTGGCCGTTAGTCTGGACATTGCGAAGGCCTTCGATCGGGTTTGGCACAAAGCGCTTCTTTCGAAGCTCCCTTCCTATGGGCTTCCCGAGAAATTGTGCAATTGGATCACCAGCTTCCTTGTAGATCGGAGCATCAAGGTCGTTGTAGACGGTGCATGTTCTGACTACAAGCCTATTAACGCTGGTGTTCCACAAGGCTGTGTGCTATCACCAACGCTGTTTCTTCTGCATATCAATGATATGTTGCTAACTGGTAACATTCATTGCTATGCGGATGACAGCACTGGTGATGCTCTATACACCGGCCGTGCCAATATTTCTCGGGAAAACGTCGCTGAGTACCGGAACAAACTTGTGTCTGAAGTCGAGTCTTTGCTGAACAAAGTCTCGGATTGGGGGCGACTAAATCTAGTCCAATTTAATCCTCAGAAGACACAAGTTTGCGCGTTTACCGCTAAAAAGAACCCCTTTGTC